TACTATCCGTTCTTAACCTGTTTAAGTACTCATTTAAATAACCGCATTTGAGTCCATTTAAATTTTTATTACCCGTACTTATCCAAAATTCGTTTAAAACACCCTCAAGTGGGTCGGTATCATAAATCTTAAACTATTTAAATTTAAACTTATTTAAAATACATTCTTTTACTAATGACTAGTGTTCAAGAAGGTGCGATACAGGTTGTTACTCGTTGAACATACCCGTTAAAATGATTATTTATAATTTATTTTTATATATTTTTTATTAATTTTTACAAAGACAATATAAAAATTTAATATTTTTTAGTTATAATTAGTACATGTATAAAAATAGGTTAATTAGTACATGTATAAAATAGGTGCACACCGCTAATCATACATATTCTAGTACTAGTATTTGATGAAAAATTTTAATAATTTGTTACAATAGATTTTTGACAAAATGGAATAGTTATAAAGTTGAAAATAAATAACCATTTGATCCTATATCGCCATATATAAAAATAAATGCATATATAAATTATTGATAATCAAATTCAAAATTTTTTTTGATAGTATATCAAAATAATAAAAATTAAAAGTTAAAAATTAGTACCTCAGTCATTAATAATAATAAAAAAGTGAGAAGTTTTCGATACAACAATAACAAAGAAACTCTTGACAATAAAGAGTCTTAAATGAACTATTAATAATAAAAGCCAAAAAATAATTGATAGTACCCAAAGAAAATATAGTTATTTGATAGATTAAATTTTCAATTGAGTTATAATTTAAATATTTGTCATTTATTATCATAATAATATATGTAATATTATGAGTTATAATTTAAATATTTGTCATTTATTATCATAATAATATATGTAATATTAAAATCAAAGTATAGTAAATTTTTAAACTAAAAATATGCAACAACTTAAAAAAAAAAAGAAATGTTAAATATTAAAAAAATTACAATCATGAATTAAATAAAATTTTTAAAAATTAACAAATTTATATTAATTGAAAATTGATCAAGAAATTTACTTGGATTAAGGATAAAATAATTAATATCATTCAAGAGAATGATGAGGCAAAAAGTAACTAATAATATTAACAAAGTGAACAAAAGGAAATGCGAAAAAAATAAAAAATTTTCAATTTTATAATTTATTAATTTAATTATTTTTAGATTTTAATATAAAATAGTTAAGTCCTTTTGCAATAAAATTATAAATATAATTGATTTAATATTTGATTCAATCAAATCAAATCAAAAACTTTTACAATAGAAATTGTTCCAATTCCTGAGATGAGAGAGTGGATGAGAATTTTTCGTTAACGACTTTCTAATATATATTTTGATTTAATCATCAGAGTAAGTATATAGTATAGTATTAGTATATACTAAGATACTATAAGTAAGTTTTTATTTAATTAATTTATTATTATTAGTCAATTTGATATTATTGATTGAGTTTGAGTCACATTTGTTGTATTACTGTTAAACATTATTTGAATAATTAATCTAATATTTTGCATTGTATTAATATCAAAGAGAATATAAAATTTCAATTAATTGAATATAATACTAAATGAGTTGCGAGCGAGAGAGATCAATGAGCTGTTTATTTCCTACTTTTCGAGACTGAAAATTTATTTATGTCAAAAAGAAAATGTATTTTTAATTTTTTACAACTAATAAAATTAAAATTCTTGAAAATTTTTATAATCTTAGCATTGATATTAGTCTATATATATGAGTAGTAATATAATTTATTATTCTATTGTAAATAGAATTTATATTTAAATTATTAAAATTGTATATCTTAATAATTAGATTAGCTTTGATTTTCGAATTAGATAAATTAAAAATTTTTAAAGTTTTATATTCCTTACCGGGAAATGTTTTATATATATATAATATGCTTGTTTTGATACAGGCGCAGACGTTAAAATGTTATAAAATCTGACTCTAGTAACCCGCATAGATGGCAAGATCTTCTTAGGTAGTATATATATTATATTATGGATAATATATATATGATAGTATAGTATAGTATGTACATGGTAAGGATATAATAAATTCAAAGATATTTTTAAGTTCAGGTAAGAATATAGAAACTTCGAAGAATTTTAAGTTCATTGTGTTGAAAAATAAAGCTAATTTAATTATTAAGGATATCAAAGTTTTTATGGATTTAAAATATACGTAATTGAGATATTAGGACTAAAATAAGAAATTAGATTATAAGGTATTTATAATACAGATACTATATATACTTATAGTATAATTATATAGTATATATATAATTTAGTTGATTTTATTCAATAGAGATTTAATGAGTATTCAATAGAATTTATATTTAAATAGAAAATTAAAATCTTAAATAATTTTTATTTAGAATTAGATTAAACTTCCTATAGTTGCTAGAACATCCTTAATAAATATAAATAAAAATTATTCTATTAATTTATAACTAGGAGAAAGTTAAGATTATACTTATCACAAGAAGAAGAGATGATTGCGAACTCAATAAATCCAAATTAGCAAAGTTTGATGTAATAATTATTGATAGTCAAAAGCAACAAATTCGCGATAGTCAAGAGTAACAAATTCTTGATAGTCAAAACTCAAAAGCAATTCAAACCAAACGTATATATAGTGGTATGATAAGACAAAATCTTAATTAGGATGGTATTAAAGGAAAAATTAATAATTAGAGTGGGATTAAATTTATAATATTAATATATTAAAAATAATAAATTGAAATCATAATTAGGGTAGGATTAAAATCAAATTCTTAATTAGAATGAGATTAAATTTATAATATTAATAAAAAAGAGCCGGCGATATACTAAATTTAATATCTTATATTATAATATATTAGAGCCGCGATAATAATAACTTAATTACTTAGTAGTTATAATGATGATTTAAATTATTATAAGATATTAGAATCATAGTAGTTTTTTACATGTATGAGGAAATCCAAAAGTTTTCTAATTAAGAATATGGTGATGATATATATATTCGACGCACCACCTTTTTAATTAGAGCATCTCTAATAAAATATTAATAAAATTAGATTTTGTTTAAATAAGAATAAGACGAAAAAGTTATTCCTTCAATTAACTAATAAAAGATTGAAAAGTCTGTAGGTGGCAAGTTTAGGAAAGCCCGCAATGTCGCGCGAGCGCGAGATTAGGAGAGATGTAATGCCATGATATGGGAGAGTTGGTCCATGTCTCCACAGAATGGTATTATATTGAAGAAATGTTAAAAGTCTACTCCAGCAGAGTAAAGAAAGCAAGGATTTATTTATATAAGTTTGAAACCACTCAATAATTTTTGTTTATGGCCATTCTCACCATCGAGGAGATTTAAAACGAGAGAGAGAGAGAAAATATAGATACTGACAAATCATTAATCTATAATCCGAAAAAAAATTTTAAAAACTTTATTAAACGAAGAACTATAAATACACACACGGGAGGAAAAGAGGAGAGAGAGAGATGGAATGCGAGCGAGCAAAATGAGGAGAGGACTATGTGAAAATACTCTATATATAATTCATTCAGAAGCGAGAAGAGAGCGGTGGCTGATACGTTATTAAGAAAATCTGAGGCACCTTCAGCAACGGAAGAAAAAATCTATTTGTGTTATAACTTAGAAATCGGAAAAAAATTCCGTGTTCGAGAGCGCGAGAACACTCGTCGACCGAGTAAAATGAAAAAGTAGAAACAGATTTGCATAATTAATGAAAAATAATATATTAAGAAACTACTATAATCATTTGTTCTTAATAAGAATTAAAATTTTCTCGTCTTCAAAATAAAAAAAAAAAACACTAAATTTAAATGTCCATCTAAGAAGAGAGATACTGATAGACACCGCGTAGAGAAAATTAAAAAATTCGCTAATTAGAATGGTCTAGTCGTCTTTTAGAATAATGAGGTTCATGATAGATGACTGAAATTATCCACACCCACACTAAGCTTATAAAGTTAATTTCATGTTTACTGAATATATATATAATTTAGAGAAGTCTAGGGTTGAAAGCGGAGAAAAGACTATAAATAAGAGAGAGAGTTCTATTAAAGTGGGTAAATAGAGAGACAGTTGAAGGTTATGGCGAGCGCCAACTCACACTCACACTCAAATTATGAAACATTTAGACAATTACAATTAATTTATAAATCTATAAAACTAAATTATAAGAACTATAAATAAAAATTATTCTATTAATTTGTAAATAGAGAGAGAGTTAAGGTTATGCTTACCCAAAAAAAAAAAGACATGACTAAAAACTCAATAATTTCAAATTAGGAAAAACTTGAGATAACAATTCTTGATAGCTAAAAATAATTAAAACTAAACATATATATAGTGGTATGATAGGATAAATTTTTAATTACAATGTGATTAAATTTATAACATTAATATAATAAAAATAATAAATTGATATTATAATTAGAATAAGATTAATAATGATATTTTTATCAATTCATAAACTTAATATCGGCGTTTAAGAACCCAATGTTCCCCCTTATTTGTACTTTTATTTATATTATAGATATTATAGATAAATGAATAAGGTATCCATGGGTACACATATTAAACCCATTTAATATAGCAGGTAACAGGTAGTAGATATCTAAATATTTATATTTATACCCTACCTATACATCTTATGGATCATAATTTCAATATCCATCCCCTTCCAAATCAATTTATAATTATCCATATTATCTTTAAATGAACCGAAACCAAGCAGATGCCTTAAAATTCTGCATACGCCTTCCATCCCTAGAGCTGACTTTCATAAGGCGGTGGGTTTTTAGGCCAAAAAGGTCAATTAGCCCCGAGTTAACACTTAACAGGGCAAAATTATTATTATTTTTTTTCTATCAAAAGTTTTTATACAAGTTTTATCCATCTTGGTATTTTTTTTTACTCTTTTTTCTGTGATTAGCAAACTGCTAGTATTAAATATCGGCCGAAAACCATGTACCAGCGCGCATAAAGTAAAATAAAATAAAATAAAGAAAGAATGAAGATCACTATGTATCACACACTCAGCACATACTCAAGCTAGGTGCTTGTCCGGTGTAAGTTTACATAAATATATTACAGTTTTTGCCTTTTCTGTCCAAAACCAAATCTCAATTTTCCATTTCCCATTCTCAGAAAATTCATCAAACCCTAGAAAATATTTAATTTCCCGAAATTTCAAAAATTTCCGCTTCTGTATACTACGATGGCGGAGGAGAATGGTGGTAGCGGTAGTTTTGGACGTGTTGGTAGCGGTAGTTTTGGAGGAGGATCGGATATAAACGGGAGATTGGCGTCTATGGACTCCGTCGAGTCGCGGTGGGTGTTCCAAGATGATGACGATTCAGTTATGGATGATGACGATGATGAAGATGAGGAGGAGGGAGATGCAGCTCAACACCGCACTGCTGTGGATTCCGACGAAGAGGATGATAATAATGAGCAGCGTTTGATCCGCACTGGTCCTCGCATAGACTCTTTTGACGTTGAAGCCCTCGAGATCCCCGGCGCCCAGCGTAACGACTACGAGGTCTGCATTTTATTTGTTTGATTAGATGATGATTGGTAGCTCGCTGGCTTTTTTCATTTCAGTTTTGTGGCTGTGTATGGAATTAGATCTTAAGTACCTTAACTGTAATACAGCTGTTAAGTACGTAGTGTGCATGACGTGTGTGTGTGGCTGTGTGCTGTTGCTTGTAATTAAGTGGGAGCACGATTTAGGCCCTGAAATTTGGCAGCTTGTATGTAGTCTCTGCTTCATTAAGAGCAGATGTTTAAGCTATTAAAGAACAATACTGAAGTTCCAATATAACTTCTTTGTAATGGATTTGCGGGAGTTTAGGATAGAAAATATAAAGTAAGAGAATGTTACAAGTTTGCTCAAAAAGGTCCAAATTGGATTTAATGACTGGTTTTTCCTTTTCTTCTTCCGATCTTTTGATTTGATTGACCATTTGTGTTTCACAATATGGTTAGTCCTCTATTCTGAATGCTTTCCTTCTTTATCCAAAAGGCATGATGAACCTGGGATATCCAAGTTGACACCATTTTGTTTTCTTCCTGGGACAATGATTTCCTTAAAAGTTACTATAAGTGAATTAGGAGGGTAGCTTGACGTAATGTGATGTGACGGTTCCATGGGCTGCTTTCATAGGAACACTTTATAAATCAAGTAATGGTCATAATCCAAAGGTTTGCTTTTTGTTAAATTGACGAGGCCGTCTGTGTTGGGGAGAACATAAATAGTAGCCTCCTTTTGTTGGATGCTTAGGTCATGAGTTGAATGACACTTCAGACAGTCACCTGCTGATCAAAGTAATTATATCATATTTGTATCCTGCATATGAAATTATGGTGTCTTTTTTAGAACTTGACAATTGATAATTAGAATAACGCTGCTTCTTCTTAACAATTTCAAGTATTAATGCATGTAGTATTTTCTAACCATTCTGGAATGGGACTAGGTTGAATTATCTATATGTTTTCATAAACAAGTTTTTGTTGTAACTAACATCACTTAAATGTAAGCAAGAAAAGAAATTTAATGACAGCATGTTGGCAAAGACATGATGTGCAGTAATAATTGCTTTCCAGTAAACTAATGACATGAACATGCTGGTATAATTTTGTGGCTATTTCTTAGATAGTAATTCCTATACTTCATTTGTTACGGCTTTTATTTGATTGGTATTCCTAACTGGACATTGTTTTATCAGTGGTGTTAATTGGAAAAGGTTCTGATGGGCATTGTCATGTTAACTTTTTGGAAGAGTTTCACTCAGCATGCCTGTGGTAGAGTAGTATATTTATCCAGCCTCATTCATCTTCCATTCAGATGTTGTTTCTTGACGAACTTCAAGATTTCAGAGTCCTTTGTTGGGAACTGTGGATTTGTTCTGTTGTCAATTATCGTATTTGTTTCTTTACCTGTGCACCTTTCCCATACATATATTTTCATGCTTCCATATCAGAGTGTTGTTTTTCTTGACGAACTCAAGATTTCCAGAGTCCTTTGTTGGGTAACCTGTGGATTTGTTCTGTTGTCAATTATCGTATTTGTGTTCTTTTTAACCTGTGCAGACCTTTCCATACATATAGTAGTATAATATATTATAGTATATAAGTATTATAGTATATATGTATGCTTTGAATGGTTGTTTCTATGAGATTTCCCTATGAATGCGCTATTGTTTTTATTCAATGCTATCTACAGTACACCACAACCCGATTATAGCAGTAATGAAGGCTATATATATGCTTTTGATGGTTGTTCTAAGATTTCTATGATGCGCATTGTTTTGCTATCAATGCTATCTACATACACACACCGATATAGACAGTAATATGCAGAACAGGTTGCAATTGAAAAACAAAGGCCAGCTGTCGTAATCATGGGAATTTAATTGCAGGACTTCAGTATGGGAAGGAAAATTATGCTAGCTTTTCAGACTCTTGGTATTGTTTTTGGTGATGTTGGAACAAGTCCATTATATGCCTTTGATGTGATGTTTACCAAGGCACCTATCAACGCAGAAGAAGACGTTCTTGGTGCATTATCGCTGGTCCTCTATACCTTAATCCTGATTCCCCTTATCAAATATGTACTTGTTGTCCTTTGGGCCAATGATGATGGTGAAGGTATGTTGGACCTTGTGAACCAAAAATTTCTGTTAGCCTTTATCCGCTCCAAACTTGCACTTGTCCATAATTATGAGAACATAATGTGCAGAGTTGACCATTCAGAAATTGTTACTTCAATTATTTCAGGTGGCACTTTTGCCTTGTACTCGCTTATTTGCAGGCATGCCAAGGTCAGTCTTCTTCCAAATCAACTTCCTTCAGATGCCCGTATATCAAGCTTCAGGCTCAAGGTGCCATCACCTGAACTTGAGAGATCATTGAAAATCAAGGAAAGACTTGAAAATTCACAGACTCTGAAAAAGATGCTTCTGATATTAGTGCTTGCTGGTACATCTATGGTTATAGCTGATGGGGTTATTACGCCAGCAATGTCAGGTTGTAAATCCCTGCATTTTCTGTATACTTTCTCTGTTTCTTGTTGATCTTCTAAATTCCTGATCTAGGGTGCAAATAGATGCTTTCAATCAATGTTTTATGTAACTCTATCTTATAATGCAGAACTTGTTTTGTGATACCATTTCTTTGTTGTGGACGTTCCTTGATAATGTTTATATTGATGCAGTATTGTCAGCTGTTGGTGGTCTAAAAGTTGGTGTGACTGCAATTAAACATGGTAATCCTACACTCTGTTAATTGTTATGTAAGCATTTGTCTCTTATCTTATATTAATTTCTTGGTTTAATTGGAAAATTTTTTTTCTTAAGCTCTGAGTTTGGGATTTCATTTTAGGGTATGATGTTTGGATTATACTAATTTACTAGCTAGCCAGTTAGAGGTGTCAAAACGAGTTGGCGTGTCGGGTTGGACATGGATTTGCCTAACACGCGACACGATTAGGGTCAACACGAACACGACCCGTTTAATAATCGTGTCAAATTTGTCGACACGAACACGACACAAAAAGTAGGCAGGTGACACGAATACGACACGTGTAACCCGCCTAATATTATAAACAGATTAAGTGGATCGTGTTGATCCATATACAACCCGTGTAACCTGTCTAATATCAGAAACAGGTTAAGTGGTTTGTGTTGATATGTATATGACCCACTTAACTTGCTTATAATATTTTTAAATTTTAACTTATTTGATTCAAATCATATTTAGAAATAATTTTTCATACATAAAGTGCATAGATTCTTCAAGATTCATGACTAAAATAAAAAAATTAATACAACAATAAAATTTAAATAGGTTTTAGTTGGAGTATTTATATTTGACACTAAGCTAAATGTACTTTTCTTATCTTTTAATGCATAGATTCTTCAAGATTCATGACTAAAATAAAAAAATTAATACAACAATAAAATTTAAATAGGTTTTAGTTGGAGTATTTATATTTGACACTAAATTTACCTCTTTACTTTTAAATAAACGGGTCACTCGCTTAACCCACGTGTTAAGCTGTGACATGACACGTTTATATTCGTGTCATAAATGGACGACCCGTTTATGACATGAATCCGTTTAACCTCAACCTTAACCTGTTTATTTCGCATGTTAGGCGAATCGTGTTCGCGTGTCGGACCCATTTGGACACCCCTAGCCAGCCTGCATTTCATGCTGTATTTTAGTTTCTTCCTGTTTGTTTTTTTCAATAATCTAAAATAAGTTGCATTCTTTCTGTTGGTTAAAATATCTAACAAATAATGTGAAAAATAAGAAATGATTTATATAGGGTGTATTGCAAGCAATTATTGTGAATACATTAAAGATTCTACAAAATAAAAATATAAAAGCAAATAAAAACATAAGAATAAAGTGTTGGAATTAATGCTGTAAGTTTCTAAAAGATGAGAAATTATTGCACAACCTTTTGAGATAAAATTTTACTAAGAGTTTCTACATTTTACCTTTTGTTTAAAGAATATAGAGATTGATTTGTAACCTTATGTCTATTTATATAACTGTGTAGCATAATGTTTAATTTTTTTTAAACACTAAACTCTATTTAATAACTTAAAAAATAAAAAAAAGAAAAACTCAATATCTTTATTGATTCCATTAGCAATTAAAATGTATAATTAATATTAAAAACCGGTAATACATGAGTTGGAAACTCAAAAGATATATTTAAAGTTTCAATATAGTTATATAATTACAATATGAATAAAGAACAGAAAAAATATTTAAACGATGCTTTTGGAATTGGGATCGTGTGATTTAAGCTTTAAGGGGTTGGGATCTTGCCATGTGCGGAGCATTAATCCTAAAATTTTGACCCTTTTTTTTAAATCAAGACATCAAAACCCTAATGATCTTTTCAGGATGTTGGTTCCTCTTGAAGTGCTTCAAGACTAAGCTATGTAAAGGTTGTAGCTCGTGAGCACACATCCTTAGTTATTTATTTGGGTGTCAACACCTCTTAGTGTTTTTAACCCTCTGAAACAAATGCACGCTTACTCTTTAGGGTGAACTTATATAGGTGTCTCCTAAGACTGCTAACTTGGTGGTATCCTCACTCACCTTCCGTGGATACTACAAGCAGTGAATCGATTGCTTACCATGTTTCTTGTGATTTTACTTGAACTAATCACATTATTCACGGAGTTTGAATCCAAGGTAGGAGTAAAGGGGATATTTTTAAGGGGATGAGGAGGTTGGTGGCTTGGTGTTAGTTTAATATGGTTGGCAAATAGTGGCTTTTGACTGCTGAGCAACCTGAGTTACTGGGAGTTTGACAAGATGCAGTTTGATTGAATGTAGAAATTCTGAAGTAGAGAACCTTTTGATTCCCTCCATTTTTGATTCTTGTATGAACTATGGCAACCAAGGTAAGCTGGGAGAAAAACAAAGGAGAAAGTGGTAAAGCCCCAAGTTAACCAAGTAACCAATTGTGACAATGGTAAAAATCCTGCAACTGCATAATGATGAAATCTACTACTGAATCTTGTTTCTCACGCCGTCAATGGACCAAAGATATTGCTTTAGAGCTTGAGACTATTTATGAAGGAAAACTGGTAATGGTATTGTGGTCCATTGTCTTGTGTCAATGAGAGCAGTAGTATCCATATGGACTCTTATTCTAGTGCCTTAAGTTCTTAGATGATAATCAACATAGATTCAACCGTTTATTGTGCATTTCATCTCATTGCATGTTATTTTTCTTGATTGTTATTTTATGGCTTTGCACATGCCTACTGAAGTAATGCAAAATCATATGGACTGAAAAAAATATATATTTTCATATAGCCGATTCCAACTAGCTTGGATTAAGGTTTTAGTTGTTATAGTTGCTGCTTTCACATGTCTAACCTTTAAAAGTGAGAAATTCACAATTGCACTTATAAAAATTATGGTGGTTGTCTGGGTTCCTGATTGTATGATTCATAATTGCAAGTGCTTGCTAACTACATGTCATATAGGTGTATTCAACTTAGTAATTTTGCTCTTGCCTTTTTTCATATTGTTTATGGCATGCAACTATAGATTTTCTTGCTAATGTATGGGTCAAAGATTTTAAGGTCATGTAGATTTTTTGATAGACCAAAATCGCTGAATCTCACACTCCTGTCATTTTGCTTATATAAATACAGTACCTGCTCACAATTTTTATTTTTAGTTCTAAATCGAGGTAAACCAGCTCTACTGTTGAATTGATTATTATTATAATTTTTCTTTGTGCAGAGCAAGTGGTGATGATTTCAGTTGCCTTTCTTGTAATTTTGTTCAGTGTACAGAAGTTTGGAACAAGTAAAGTGGGACTTGCTGTGGGCCCTGCTTTGTTTATATGGTTTTGTTTTCTTGCGAGCATGGGGATATACAACCTTATTAAGTATGACAGCAGTGTTGTGAGGGCATTTAACCCTGTTCATATCTATTACTTCTTCAAGCGGAATTCTACCAAGGCTTGGCGTGCTCTTGGAGGTTGCCTTCTTTGTGCAACAGGTAAATGGGCTCATCTAGAGACACTACATTTCGAGAAAGCAACTTTTTGTATGCTATGAGGTGCAATTTACTTGTTTTTCTGTTTATGGATCTGTCTTTCTAGTCAAGTCCACCAGCGGATTTAAGATCAATTCCATTTTCAGTTGTTGTTGTCCGATAGTTAAAGAAGTAACATTATTAAAACATGTTTGTTTTTGTTACTTGATGTCTTACAGAGAAAAGGTTACTATGATATGTGAAAACCAAAAAAAGTGAATTTTACTTGTTTCTCAATATATAGTGTTCATTATTATACAACCACCACCAAAAATCAAATACAAATGGATATCAAAAGGCTCTTGTTTTTCCTGTTCTGTTAACAGACTGCCCCCCTGTTTTATTGGTGGACAGTGTCCACTATGATTCAGATCCAATTTATTTTTTAGAATATATAACCTACGAGTGTAGGGTAATCAGGCTTGAAGTTCACGTAGCGATTTTCTAAGTGGCTGGTAGGAGTATTAGATTTCCATGGCTTGGAAATTGAATTTGTAAGTTTGCTGGTTTGTTTTGTTGCCTCTTTGCTTAATGAAAATTAGAATCAAAGTAATCTTGTAAGCATGCTTTTCAATGTTATATTGTCAGAGGACATTGAGTTACTTTTCATAGAGCTGTGAGCTAGAGCTTAAAACGAGGGATGGAAACACTAAGGTTGTTGGAGAGAGGGTGATGGCATATAGGTTGAACTAGCAGACTTGCAAGCGTCTTGCTGTGAGTAAGTATTTATATAGTTGAAAAAGATGCAAGTATTTATACAGTTAAAAATAAATATAAATAAAATAAGTAAATAACCTTGACTCATTAATAAAATTCTCTAAACTAAATATAACATGTAAAAACATTTGTGCTGGATGGTGCAACCACATCTTCTCATAGTCTATACTGTAATAATCTCTTAGGGGGGTGGAGGGGGGGGGGTCGGGGGACGGACTCATGTAATAAAGTGTCTCTAAAACTAAAGTAGTAAGCATGTAGAATAACATTTGTGCTGTGATGGTGAACCACATCTTCTCATAGTCTAGTAACTGTTATTATATATATAGGTATATATAGTATATAGTAATATATATAATATAGTATGATATATATATATTATATAGTATATAATGCCTATATATAATCTAAAAGAACAAATAAAGTTGTGTTTTAGTACTATAAAAATTAAGAGTTAAATCTTATGGACATAAAATTTTTGTTCCAATAAAAAAAATAATAATTTCAAAAATTTCAAAAAGAAGAAAATATTAAGTTCCAATTTTTTTTTTATACCATGAGTGTTTTAAGATCCAATTTTTGGGATTAAGGCTTAGTTATTGTTGTTGAATGTTTTAACGTTTATATTTTCAGCTCAATTTAGTTTGATTTTTGCAGTTTTGACCCCATAAATCTTTAACGGAACCATCCACTTTCAGAACCACAATTTGAATCAATTTGGACTTGTTTGGGTGATTGGGTCAATTTTTGGTGGTTTATGAATATCCCTACTTTTCTTTTAATTAAAATCTAATGATGTATTTTGCAGTATATAGGAAAGAAGTAAAATATTTGTTTTTTTTTTGTTTTATATTTTATAAAATTTGTGTTTGTTAAATTTTAATTTTTTACTATTAAATAGAAATTATTATATGTTTTAAATTTTAATTGAAATTTGAGATTATAGACATCATAATACTGCTGAGCTGAAACATGATTTTATCCAATGACATGCTTGTCTCATATAACTGAATGAAAAGCACTTAGGATTTTGGCTTCTGGGGTGCTACCAATGTCATTAGTCCCAACTTTTGCATTAATTGGAACAAAATGAAATTCTGTTCTGATCCTTCTGTTCAGTTGAATGTTTAGAAAAATGTTTTGAGTCTATCAGATCTTAATGAATAAAGGGACATAGCATCTTGCTTTTTTGGGGTGGGGGGTGGGAGGGGGAGTCTTTAAATCTGGTGGGGCGTGGGGATGGGAGGATGTATGGATGGGGGGGGGGGGCAAATTATAGCAGTGTGTCTGGATATGCACTATGCAAAGGAAAATACAGATGTATAAGAAGTGGTAGCACATTTAGCTGGAGCCTTCTCAGTGTTAGAAGATCAGAATGTTTTATTCGAATAGTGAAATAAATTATAATGTGATGGAAAAGACGGGAGCTAAGTATATGTTATGGGGGGGGGGCATTATAGAATTTGTCTTGATATGTTCACAGCAAGGAAGGAGCTAATACAATGTAAGTGGTACACATTTAGCTGAGCCTTCTCAGTGTAGAATCAAATGTTTATTCGAATAGTGAAATAAATTATAATGTGATGGAAAACGGGACTAAGTAATTTATTTCACCATGGAAAATATGTGGTTCTTTTCTTTAGGAACTTTTGAATGCTATTTTGTATGGACATTGTATTGCTCTTTCTTTTGTGATTGTTGTTGATGGATTTTTTTCAGGTTCTGAGGCAATGTTCGCAGATCTTTGTTACTTCTCTGTGAGATCAATTCAGGTAAGGAAGCAAGACAGTACTAATTTTCTATATGAGATATGCTGCAACCATAGTTTTTAGAAGTGCACCTCAAGTGATTTTATTGAGTGGCGCACCCTTTTGCTGAGGTGCACGTCTCAGCACGCGTTTGCTACTTCACTTTAAGACCCAAAAAAGGAAAAAAAAAAAAATTGAAAGGAGTAGCAAATTATGTCAATTGATTGGGGCAACTCATGTTTCTATTCCTCTTAAATTTTAGGATGATTACTATATATGTACACGAAATTCAATCTTATCATAGTGCACTAATTGACTGGGGTAAATCATGTCCCAGATTTTAGTATGATTGTCATACATGTATAGAATTCTATGTTCCCCTAGTCAACAAATTAATTAGGGCAAATCATGCCCCAAATTTTGCTTTATTAGAGTACATCTATGATAGGCAATCTTCTCCTAGTCAACCAATTGATTGTGGTTGATCATGTCCTCAATCCTCCCAAAATTTAAAGATGATTACGATATATGTACACTATATAAACACTCTTTTATCTATATAAATCGGTGGTATGTCAATTCAGTTTTATATTATTAATTCAATACATTCTTTGGTCAATTTATAATCTGTCCTAGTCAACCAGTTCTAGTGGAATGTAGTATTATGGTTCAACTTTTGACATGCATTTATTTTTATTTGGATTTCCAAAAGATTAATGCCTGAATTTTAATTGTTTCATATAATTGTTATAAATACTTGTCTTATTTATTATCAGGTGTCTTCTTTTTATACTATGTGCCTCGTGTCTCTTACATATGTCCTGTGCCTTGTGCCTAGGCTTTAGCACCCATTTGCACCTTTAATGATTATGGCTGCCTCTTTATTTATTTATTATTTTCTTATATGACATAATGTCTGCTAATACTCCTGGTGTTTTTATTGTCATTGTTCTGATTGTTACAATTCTAATTTATTTAATAGTGGACATTTGCAGCTTACATTTGTATTTCTCGTTTTTCCCTGCCTCTTGTTGGGTTATTTGGGTCAAGCTGCATACCTTATGGAAAATCATACTGAAGATGTGGCCGAACAAGTGTTCTTTTCATCAGTTCCAAGTAAGATGCGTGCTGTATGTACAATAGAGTCTATGCTGTAGCTTAAAATGGAACCTTTTGTAATTACTATTTGTGCTTGTCAAAGAAGTATTTTTTTGACTCATTATATTATGGAATTGAATTAAATGTTTTAATCCTCTTTTTTTTTTCCTACAGGTGCTGCTTTCTGGCCTGTTTTCTTTATTGCTAATATAGCTGCATTGATTGCCAGTCGGGCAATGACAACAGCCACTTTTTCATGTATAAAACAGTCAACAGCACTTGGTTGTTTCCCGCGTCTTAAAATCATCCATACGTCTCGAAAATTCATGGGTCAGATTTATATTCCTGTCATAAACTGGTTTTTGCTAGTAGTCTGCGTGGCATTCATCTGCTCTATCTCTAGTATTACCGAGATGGGAAATGCATATGGTAATGCTTATTTCCTAGAACTTTTTGAAATTTCTTATGCGTTTTTTTTTAATTTTTTATTTATCAATTATTAAATTGTGTTTTATTATTTATCACTTTATTGAATGTATTCAAATAGGACAAACAAAATGCTTTCAACAATGCTATAAAAAAGATGCTGACAGGACCTAAAAACTCTATTTCCTAGTCTAGCACTTAACAAAGTCTGAAAAGACCAAAATTAATTTACCTTCATGTAGATATGAATCCACAAAAACAAATTGCGTAAAATCCCAGTCAAGTTAGGAGGATTTTATCCTCCATCTTGCATTCTCCTTCTTTTCCTCAAATAAAATCTCCTTTTCTTAACTGTAAAAAGTCATTGCACCAAAACGGCAGTTTGCTCTGATCTTCTATAAACTTTGAAGTTCCTCTCATCCATAGACCCCAAATAATAGTTGAACTTTCAACCATGCAACTATATCACCCAAGTGTACCTGACATTCCTAAAAACCATATACGATGGAACACTCAACACTAAATTAATACAGAGATATTTGCTCCATCTCTTGAGCTGGCAAAAGTTATGGAGATGATTGATTGAGTTGCCCTTGGACAATGCTGGCTCAAAATTAGCTTTTCTTCTAAGCAAATTCCCATCTGTCAAGGTGCCGGACAAAGCTTCCATGAGTGGATGTTGCCAGTTCCTACTTGCTAATTGGTCTTCTGCAAATAGACTATTACTGTTGAATTATACAACAGTCATAAAAATGATTGACTTGATTACAGAAAAAGTTTTGAACATTGGTGATCTTGTAATACTATCAGCTACCATAAAAGTTGGCAACTTCCACCATATGCTTTTACGGGAAAATGTTGTCTGAAATTGTTTATACATCAGGTGGATCTTAAAATGTGACATGTTGAAATTAAAAAAAGAAAAAGAAATTTCACATAAGAAAGAAAAACTTACATGTTTTTCAAATGCGGGAAAATACAACCCTATTTCTTCTTCCCCTATGTTCAAATCTTCGGTATAGAAATCACTGCACAAAAAGCTTCCATTTGGTTTTTACAAAATATGGAATCATATTTTGTGAATGAAGAATCGACCATTATTGGATCTATTTCTTGTGTCTGGAGGATGGTGAGTCGGAGACCGCTTCTTGCTCCTCTCTTTGTTCCAAGTTTTGCAAAATCTCTCTCTACTGCAATTAAGGGTGGGCATATGCTTAGGGCTGCTGAGGTGTTGGAAAAGGTTGCTATTGCTCTTTATAGTGATGGAGTGACTAGAAAATAGGAGGTGCTACTGCTGCTAAGTATTCTCTCTCTAACTCTCACAATTCTCCCAAATTTTCAGCATTTCAAGGATAATAGGGAGGTTTAGATCAATAATAAGAGTCGTTTCAATTGTTGATGATTATTGGGGAGGCTGTTATTGGCTGGAATAGCTGAAGTTGTTCCTCAATTTGGTTTGCCTTGTCTTTCTCATTATGTGCATGCAAGGTGTTATTTTGAGCTTGGGGAAGAAGGCACAATGCATGGATTTTCTCTCTTCTTCTTCCATTTTTTTTTGTTTTTTTTTGAGACCTGCATGACATGTTAACAATTTGAGGCCAGATTTTGCCTGGAACTTGACCAGGTGATAACATTGCAACAAATTAAAAAGCATATGCTGGAAATTGCTATGTCTTAAGGTTGCTGATAAAATATAAAAAAAATGCTGATGTTCAGCAATATTTGAAATTTAGCCAAAATGATTTTATTTTAGTTTAAAGCGCATACTTTAGCAGGTCTCAGACATAAAAGACTTTATGATGCAGTTATGGAGCCAGAATCTTTTTCTTGGGGGTGCCAAGATATGATAGAGTAGTCATGCAACAGTAATTAATTAATCATGGACCATACTAAATTCTAGTGAAAAAGTAATAAAATTGATGAAGAAATCATATTTATTATGTGTCAGCATATAAATTTACTACTTATAAAGGAAAAGGAAAAAAATTACCAAATAAATATGTATTATGATATATCTAGTGGCCGGATCCCCGGCTCCATTAATGCTGTGATGCTTGAGTGCTTTCTTTGAGAAATAAGTGACGTTTTATGTGTAAATGATGTATTTTGGTTGGGTATGATTGTTTATACTAAATTTTATCTTATATGAGCGGCAGTTAAGCCTAGACAAACTTCCTCCCATCACTTTCCCTAGTATTGTTCTGCAGTTGCTCATCATTCAAATTGGATTGTATTTTTTTATTTTATATTTTTATATCTCGAATAAATTTCCTCAAGATGATCCTGATAAAGAGAAATTAACACTTATGGAAATACATGTTCTATGGCAAATGAATCAAACAATGTTTCTGACTTGCTCATAATTTTTGGACATTTCAGCAATTAGATGTTTCTTATGTACAGTACATGACGTTTACCGTTTGTTGTTAATCATTGCAGGTGATTCTATTTGTTCAGTTATGTGCTGGACTTTTGACTGAATTTTTGGCAAATGCCTTTTAATGTCTTTAATCTTAACCTTTGGCTCCCAATGAGCACTGTTACACTGCTGTAGTCCTGCTTATTGAATTATCGTCTATGATTGTTACTGCATGAAACATTTTGAGGATATATTCACTAAGGCGATGATTAACCTCAATTTGCTTTTTGCTTAGTGCCTAGATAATAATAAACTACCTTCTTTCAATTGAACTGAGCATAAGTAGCTATGCATTGAAACTGGCTGATATATGCAAGTCGAAATATCATAAGCTCATGAATTCTTGTCGCCTATTTTCCTTTGTTTGTTATTTACATGAGCAATTAATTGTTCTGATATCTAGTTGGTTATTACAGGAATTGCTGAGCTGGTGGTGATGATGATGACAACAATTTTAGTAACTATTGTTATGCTTCTTATATGGCAGATAAACATCATTGTCGTCCTGAGTTTTGTGGTTATTTTCTTGGGGATGGAAATGACCTTTTTCTCATCAGTTTTAGCAGGTGTTGGGGATGGTAGTTGGATAATATTAGTTTTTGCTGCAATTATGTTTCTTATAATGTACATCTGGAACTATGGGAGTAAATTGAAGTATGAAACTGAAGTTAAGCAAAAGATGTCTATGGATTTAATGCGGGAATTAGGCCCCAATCTAGGGACAATACGGGCCCCAGGCATTGGCTTGCTTTATAATGAGCTGGTAAAGGGTATACCTGCAATTTTTGGCCATTTTCTGACCACTCTCCCAGCAATTCACTCCATGATCATATTTGTGTGTATAAAGTATGTTCCAGTGCCAGTAGTGCCTCAGAGTGAAAGGTTCCTTTTCCGGCGAGTCTGCCCTAAGAGCTACCATATATTTCGCTGCATTGCCAGGTAATTTGTTCAGCTTGTGCAAGTTTGGAACTGTCATGATTGGATTGTGGGAAATTAGGATTTTCCTTTGTTTCTTGGACCTTGATATTGTGGCCGAGGTGTAGTGGGACAGCCATCTCACTGCCTGAAAAACCCAACATTTCCTCATTAACAAAAGAACTACTTCTGAAGACACCAAGTTGTCCTATGTTTGCACAGGTCACGAGTTGGCCAATTCTGAAAGTGAGAACATCTAAGTGGGTGTCACGAATAACTTCAGCAGTTAAGCCAGGTGGCATTGCAAATTATGATATTCTTATATATTCAATATGGGAGTTTTGATCTCATGACGATGCATCACCAGAAATATATGGTCCTTGTAAGAGAGTTGCCCCAAGTGAACAGAAAATACTTTGTGCTATCCTACTGATTCCTCCTCTGCCCCACTTTTTACACGAGACACCTTTAGTTCATATAGAACCAAACGAAGACTTATTAATACTCGAAGCTGTTCATGGAAATTAATGTTCGTTTTATATAATGCATATTATTTTGTCCTGTCTTATTGCTGAATATGCGATTAATCACTTAACAGGTATGGCTACAAGGATGCCCGTAAAGAAAATCACCAGACATTTGAACAGCTTCTAATTGAGAGCCTTGAGAAGTTCATTCGCCGGGAAGCCCAGGAACGGTCATTGGAGAGTGATGGGGATGATGATACGGACAGTGAGGAAGAGTCGTTGAGTACAAGGGTCCTAGTAGCTCCCAATGGAAGTGTTTACTCACTTGGTATACCTCTCCTAGCCGAGTTCAGGGACACAAGCAAGCCCATTAGTGAAGCAAGCACCTCTGAAGAGGTGCATCTAGGGGCTTTTGCAGACCCAACGATGTCTGATGCAGAACACGGCCTTGAAAGGGAGCTTTCTTTTATTCGCAAGGCTAAAGAGTCCGGGGTCGTTTATCTTCTTGGTCATGGAGATATTAGAGCGAGGAAGGATTCGTGGTTTATAAAGAAGCTAGTCATAAACTACTTCTATGCTTTTCTTAGAAAGAACTGCAGAAGAGGGATAGCAAATTTGAGCGTTCCTCATTCGCATCTCATGCAGGTTGGAATGACATACATGGTTTGACAATATTGATTTGGTACAAAATAAGGCAAGTCCTAATTAATTACTTTTGACACCACAAAAATTTGATGCGTCGACTGCTGTTAATCGGGAAAGTTGCATCCATGGGTTCACACAATGTATAATGTCAATTTCTTGACGTGAGAGATGCATGTGGTGTGTACAAATGCTTACACCATTAGAGAATTGACTATTGAATCAGCAAGTTTTGTAGTCTTCATTTTGACTGCCTTTTAACCAAATGCATTGGTTTTACTCTTGTTACGGATGCATATCCAATTAATCCTTGTAATTAACATTTCAAAGTGATGTGAATGTGATTAATTTATCATAAACAAGTTATGCTTCGAAATTTCTGCCCCCAGAAATTTTATGCTTGCCGCTGGTTGATAATGGCTTCTACTAATATGAAAATCTAGGGAGAACTTGAGATGTCCACTGTTGAATTGAAGGCAATCTAAGTTTCTTTGGAATGTCTTTTTCTTATTCGCTTAGACAATTTTAAAATATGTTTGTATGTATATATATTAGGTGGTGTATGAAATTGTACTTGTTAAATATTGGTAAAGTATAAAATGGATTAATGATGGAGTTGATTGATGGGTTTTTGTTCCTATAACGCATATAATTAACTTTAATCATGAGTTTATACTTTACAACCTATGGTTTTCAAACCAAGTTTATACGCTTCTATAACCAAATCCAAGATTTGTTTCTGTAGATCACTAATTTGTGTTTAATGGAGATCATAATCCTACCTAATATTATATTACTAAATTTGTTTTAGTATTATAATTATAATCAAACACTTTAAATTAATATGTCAAATGTATCTTATAATTAATTATGACTATTTTTCACGTTGGATCCACAATAGTGTCAATGTATTTTCCACTTTATCAAAAGACAAAAAAAAAAAAAAAAAAAAAAAAAAAAAAAAAAAAAAAAATTTTAGTATTATAATTAAATCAAACACTTTAAATTAATAATGTCAAATGTTATCTTATATTAATATATGACTATATTTTTCACGTTGGAAAGTTCCACAAATAGTGTCAATGTATTTTTCCACTTATCAAAAGACCAAAAAAAAAAAAAAAAAAAAAAAAAAAAAAAAAAAAAAAAAAAAAAAAAAAAAAAAAAAAAAAAAAAAAATTTCAAACACTCAATTGACATCATTTTCCAATACCAAAATAGAAAAAGACCACAAATTCCGACAGCAAAAATAACTATATAGAAATTTGTCTGCTGTAGAATAAAACAAATTTCTATAAAGTAGAAATTGTCTTGTATTGTAAAACAAATCTTATGAATGCCATTCCTGAACTGAAAGGGGCCACTAGTAAAATAAATTTAAGTTTTTCAAAAATACCTTGAAATTCTCAGTTCCAATGAAATCAGTGTTCTCGTATTGTATGATCTCCACGTTATAAAGCATGCAGAATAAGGATGGTCTGTGTATGGTTAATTATCGTGCTTCTCTCCATTTAGCATCGGTATACGATTGATCCATTTTCTTTCTCTGGTCCATAAGAAAATCAGACCCCAAAAAGGTCTTGGTGCTTGGAGATTCTCCGTGAGCCTGTTTTTGCTTTGAGGAGAATTTCAGTCGTAAAAGCAATGAATTTGACATGACCCCAATAGAACTTAAACCCATGAGAGCTCCAGCAATTGATGGAGTCAGCATCGTCCCAGTTATGGGAAGCAACATGCCAGCTGCAATTGGAATTCCAATCTGCAAAGACATGATCAAATATTGAAAAAGTTAAAAAATGTTCCGAGTTTGTTAGCAATCAATTTTGTCGTAAAATGAGTTACAGAAACAAGAAAATGTGAGAACAGGAAAGGAGATTGCTTTTGGATGAGCACTTTAATGAGGAAAGACAACTAAGTTCAACAATAAATCTGAATGTCAATTATTATCCTTGCAAGAAATGAAAAAGCAGATGGGCGGTAATGAAAGCAGACATGTAAATAGCAAAATGAATACTTAAGCAATCAGCATTGTTGAATAGTTTGGATAGAATTTGAACAGGTATTATGGATCAACTCCAAGTAAGCTCTTGTAGCTCCTTCCAAGAGAAAGATAACGTTGGTGAACAAAGAGTTTAAAGATAGAGAAAATGGGGATTTGTTTCAAGAAGAGGAAGTAAAATAGGGATAATACCAAATAATGAAAACTTCATAATCGGGAGAATAGTATCATGAATTAACCGATTGGGTTTAGATTTTTGAAATGTGGGGGCAGTCTATTGCAAGAATATTCAATGTGTGAGGAAGAAAAAGAGAGAGGGATGAGGAAAGTGAAGACTAGTGAGCTAAGTTTAATTTGAAAGGCTACAATAATTTGATGTGTTTAGTTGCACCAAAGTCAGGATGTAAAATTGAAGAGAAACTGTACTCTTATTTTCATCTTACCATACAAGGGGTTTCATGTTGGGAGCACGATGGAGAATGGTAAGGAAGCAAACAGCAAAATGATACAAAAGTAAAAAGGGATGGAAAAAAAAAAAGTTGAACAAGCATGAGGCAACTTCAACTTGGTGTGACAATGATTATCATTAAGAGTTAGAAACTAGTATACATCATGCTCCTTCATTGCTTCAATAAGATAAAGTGCAACGAGTTTCAGGAGTTATAGGTTGGTTCAGATTATAATAGTAAGACAGCCACGAGCTACAACCTTGCATAAATAAACAGTTGACATTAAAATTCTATTCCTTTTATGATTGATGGTATCAACACAAAATTCAATTATTTCTGCCTTACCTTTCTTGACCATCTGACCAATCCAAAATCAGTTATTGTTAAAACGAAGTTCATGTTCCAGTCAATAGATAGTCCTTTGCTGATATGACAAAATTGTTAAAATGCACTCAGTTGTTTCATTCTTTTGCAGGGAATATAATCCAGGACATACGAGATTTCTTTTCAACTTAGGATTATCTTTATGAGCTTTTGGTTGTGAAATACATTGCTACAGTTGCATGTTGAACAAAACATTTTTCTTTCTGAGGGAAATAATGCACAAAACTTACAATGTTATATGCAAAAGCCCACCAAAGATTTTGCTTCACAGTCTTCATGGTTAGCCTACTTAGCTCCAATGCATCAAGCAACTGCATGGAAGGAATCTAAGTTAATCACATTGTTCAAGAATCATGCGAAAACAGAATAATGATATCATAAGCATTTAAATGTCCCAAGTCAGGCACTGCTACATCAGAATCTCTCTCGCCATAACAATCAAGTAAAATCCAATAGAGCACCACTTGTTGAATTAAATATTGAAAGCAAAAGGATATGATGAACATAAAGTTGTTTATACTCGTTCTGGTGTTCTCTGAGTTTTACAGGGCTACACATGAATGTTTTAGCAGGCCAACATAAGATGGTTTTATGCATGCAAACTAACCAAAAGTACAAAATTCAAGATTACATTTCTTGACCAGCATCAATTCAAGATGCATTAAAGGAAAAAAGGGAATGAAAATTTCATATTAAAGGGCTTGTGACAAGAACTTTACTTAAGAAACTGAAAATAAGAGGCATATCCATCAAATTAAGCAAATTGCATAATGTGTATTTTTTTTTTAAAGTTATTATAACAAAAATTTGAACTTCTTCTCGATTTGTGCATATCATCCTTGTGTTCTCTGCATCATTCCAATTTTATCAGATGTCTCTGAAGGGACTGCATGATGTTTATGTTGGGAATAGTATATATTATAAAAGTCCAGTCATATCTGGCTTGATAAAAAGGCATGCCGAATTCCAGGCTGCCTGAATAAAATTTCCATTTTAATTACTGGATGGAACCTTGGGCACCATCCATCCTTTTAAATGCTTATCATGAGTCGAGAATTTCAATTGATGTTATATTGGAGACTTACGGTCGAATGGTAAGACTGCAAAATTTTCAAAGGCAATGGAAATTTGCACTTTGGGGAAGCCAAAAAGTAAATGTATTTACATCATATGCAAGAAGGGCCTGAAATTATCCATGCTATCTGAATACCTGCGACAACTTATTGCCAGTCAGCACAATAGAAGACACCTCGCTAGCAGCTCCAACACCTCCACCCATGGCAACTCCAACGTGTGAAGATGCCAAGGCAGCAGCATCATTGATTCCATCACCAACCATGGCTACTATGTTATGATCCTTCTGGAGTTCAGTAATAAACTTCTCCTTTTCATTTGGTTTAACTCCAGCTAATACCTAACATCCATAGCATATTCAGAAATCAAACAAAGTTTCATTTCATGATATGTTAAATACAGAACATGATCAACTCCTGCAAGTGGCAGTTAAAAGGGACAACATTTGGAGTTTGAATCAACATATAATACATATAATTTGTAAGGGTTTGCCAATAATTTCACATTTGGAATCAATGTAATCCTTCCTTCAGCATTGAACCAACTTCTAAGGGTTAAATAGACAAAGCTAAAGACAATGTCAAACAAACCTAAAATGGTTTCAATATTCCAGTAACTACATGTCCAAATTATCAAGACAATACCTAAACAACAACAAACCAAATTTAGTTTATAAGCCTATTATTATAACCCCAATGCAACAAAAATTGCATGCAATCTATGTGAATTAGACTGTTAACACTTCTCCAGTGATCTTCTGAAGGCACCTCACAAATTGCCTGCACCAAGGCAATGTGACTTTTAAGACTAAGGAACTCCAGCAACAGGACACGCTTCAAAGCAATGGAGTACTCCAGGTTAATGAGCTTGATGGGATTACAGTGTGTGATATACTTCAAGTGATGAAATTTTATGAAATAAAGGCCAAATTCATGTTTGACTTATTGATACAGGTCTAATTAGAAGCAAAAATTTTTATTTGGCCTAATTAACATAAGAGTTTCATGGTAATTTTGGCCAAATTTCTGAAAAGCTCCAGCCTCAAATATGCACGAGTTAGTAAATTAGAACGAACAGAACAATATAATTGCACTGCTGGAAGAGAGGCAGAATTTTGCTCTCTATTATTTTTTCTTTTCTTAAGCAACCAAATAACAACTTACCTAATACCACATTTGGGAAATAATCCATTTTTTTTCTCCCTCAACTAAAAAGGCACAACACAAATTCAATTCAAAAGGCCCACTAAAAATATGGAAGATATTTGATACATAATGTAACTGAAATCTGGACATAAAAATTTAGAGATCTTGAACAGAAGCATAACAATGAGAGTAGATCTTGAAATGCAAAAATAACTAATGAGTAGTATTATGGAAGAGAAATAATATAGAAACACTCAATATTTTCCCAAGAAAGGGAAAGCAAATGCTTTTTCGGGTAGTTAGCCATCCATTCAAATGAAAAAACAGCTAACAGGTATTAATAGAAATGAAAGGAGAGAAAGAACTTTAATTTTTCAAGTATAGTGAAGGAAAATGCTTAGTTAGGTTGTGAGTGATCATGCCTGAACAAAAATCTAATTAGTGGGACCTTTGAAGAAATGAAAATCTCTACGAGACAAGTCTTTAAGCCATAAACTGTAAACAATTTTACAAAATCAAATTGCAAATTATCCGAGTGTATGTTTCTTACCTTCTCCTTTGGAATACCAACAATGGATGCAACATATTCTGCTGTCTTCCTTTTGTCGCCAGACAGCATGTACACATTAATCCCTTGCCTGGATAAAGATTCAACAACATTTCTAGCATCTTCTCTAATCTGATCTTCCAAGTATATAAGACCAGCAAGGGTATCATCTACACCAACATAGACAACTGATTGTTCCTTAACATCCTCCACTTCTTGAAATGGATTCTGATAAACTCCATGCCTGTATCATAGAAAAATTTAATTGAAATACATCACGAATAAATAACAATTAAATTCCAAAAAGTGGAAGTAACAGACTTCAAATTTTGGTCTCCGGTGGCCACCTATTCTCCATTTTTCCTTAGAGATGTCGAATGTTTAAATGCATCTAATTTAATTCAAACTCCTAATTTTCCAAAGAGGATAAACCTAATATTCAGCTAATTTATTAAATAAGCCAAAATGAAATTAGAGAACTTCCTGAATAGATTTGAATTATAAATGTAAGCACTCAATAATTTACTAAAACAAGTGTAATATTTTTATAAAACATCATTAAATTTGACCATTCTTGTCCTCTTCAATAATACTATATATGATGGCATGTATAAATTTTAGGAACTAGCTACAAGCAATATGATATGGAAAAGATAAGATTTCCTATTACAACTCTTTCTACTACTAAACAGTTTCAAATCAGTCTGGCCTTTGACTATAAAAATTATGCATTTATTATATATGTTTGTTTGAATTTGATCAAAGTATAAATGAGTCTATACGCTTGCTCAAGTGCGCCAAAAAACAAGTTCACTTGCAAGCTTGACAAGCTAAGATCCACCTAGCTCAAACTCGAGTTGTTTATTAATTCAATCTAAAGCATGACTTGTTAACTTTAAGAGTGAGTTCAAGAGCTTTTACTGAGCCAAGCTCCAACTGGTTATGTTTATGAGTGACTGACTCATTTTCAACTGTAATTAATGCCCTTAGGCAGAATAGTATATATTAATTATGTACCTATCCCAAAAAAGTCAAATGTCATACAAGAATAAATCAAAATCATGAGAGGTTTCATTATAAGAGATTGACTGATGATATGGCAAATAATAGAAAAGAAAAGTTGTTTATATGTGAATAGATAATTTCTAGACTACAACTTTTACCAGTATTTACTTGTTATGAAATAATGGAGATATCTATGCGCAACAAGGTCACCATATCACAGCAACAATTTTTTAAAATGCAAAATGTAGGGGGAAAAATGTAATGCTAAACCTGATATATTGAAGAAAAAGATCCATATAGTTAATTCTAACTAGTTTGAGAATAAGTCTTTAGTTGAGCTGTGCCATGTACTTTACAGATTAAGAGTCATTAAAGTAAATGCAAACTTGTGTGCATGTTTTAATTACAGAACTATAGTTGCAGCTTATAAAAATTTAGCTGCTAAATGATATTGCTATTAGATATAGAACTTTTTCTTTCTTTTACTTAATATGGTATGTCCTTTGCATGCAAAACGATGCGCACTGATATTCAATGTCAAGCACAAAGTCATATAAATTCTACATAGATTTTCCTGCATGAGTGTTCCAAATCCAGATAAGTTTATTCTTACTAACTACATGAGGCAGAAGTTCCCTTAGATGTAAGACATTTGAGGCATTTTGTTAAATTAGCAAGTTTTAGTATAATCAACTATAATCATTAATGACAGGTTCAAATCCTCCATAAAATTTTATGGCCTGTTGTTTTATCTTATACTTGGAATGGTGTCAGACATATTTTATGGCCAGAGATTCTGTTTTATACTTGAAGATTTGTGAGACAAATATTTGTTTCTATATTGCTCATTAGCATTATCTATATGTGGGGTACACTGGTTGCCTAATGGTTTACCAAATGCAATCATAAGCAAACCAGAGGCTCACATCAGAATAACTTCTGTGATTGATAAACCAAAAGCAATGAGTAAGCAAACAAATCTAAGCCCACATGACAATGTCTTCTGTCACGTATGTAACACATGCCTATTAGAAGTAATGGCAAAATTGGAGTCCTGCCAGTAATCAAACTTGATTGCAATATTGTTATAAATTTTGTACAAAATTGAATAAGAAAATAGAAATTTAGAGATGAAATTGAATGAAATAAAATAATAGGACCTGACCAATAAGGTGGTAGTGCAGTGATTTTCCCCTTCAAAAAATTCCAATGTGCCAAATAAAACCAGAACCTCAAGTTAACTATAAAGTTTAATGAAAGATTGAGTTAAATGTATTAAAAAGATTAATGCAAGATTGAATTAAATGTTTGGTTGGCCAAAATGTTTCTGATGCAGACATCACGTACAAATCAGCTTATATTGATTTGCGGTTGTCTTCATTCAAATTCATAGTTACTTTCTATTGAATTATTCTTTTAGCTCGCAAGCTGATCTATTTTAGAGCCTAAAATAGAATATTCCAATAACAAAATATTCAATTTTAGGTCTCACTAGAGCAATCAAGTTTAATTGCATCAAATTTGAACGCATTCTTTGCAACAAACACTTTCTTTTTGAATACCTTTGAACCCAGTCTAATGTTCCAACAGACACCTTCTTGTTCTCGATGGTAGCTACAGCACCAGATCCTGGTTCCTCCATGAATGTTCCATCTGCCACCTGCTAAAAAAGCTTTTTCTGTGAAAATTTTGTGGATGCCTTTAAGTCAAAGATGTTTAAATCCCACCTCACTATCAGTCTGAGTTTGTATCAGATACTGATACTTCTTGATTAACCAGGTTCCATATTGGATAAAAAAAATACACAAAATTAAAAAAAAAAAATTATTTTAGGTACCAGGGGGAACAACAAATTGAATACTGGTATTTGCAGGCCACTCTAATTCGAAACTTTCCACATCTGTCTTAATATTGATAGATGCAGGATATTATGAACTTCCAGGAATCAAAATATTCGGTTATCCATAGTTCCTTGGAGTATGTTTGGTAGACTGCAATGTAGTTTGATGAGTATTTAATTCGTAATTATATTGAATTTTTATTTTTTCACATTCATTTAAGTTCCACAAAGATGCACTTGATCATCACATATGCATGGATGCTTCTGTATATGTAATTCTATTCAATTGTTATTAAATTCTCATTGCATGATACATTTATCAAAATTGTGTTACTGATAGCGCCTCCTAAATCATTCCAGGAGAATACTAACATGAAGAGTACCTGTTGCACTGGGAAATCCAATATAAGCAAATTTTGGAAGCAATTACCTAATCGCATGGTGTCCCAGCCTTTTGATTTCCAATAGTTCCTTTCTTTTTCTTGGAAATTTTTTTTCCGGGCTTCCCTTGAGAAAAACCACTGTCAGTATAAGTCACCATTATTAGGGTGACTTTCTTGTCTTACTGCCACAACTACAGTCTGCCTTGATTATGGACCGGCCTTACCCTGAAATCTGATCATTAGAAGACCAGCGAGTGGCTGTCACGTGCCACCTGTATTTTCTATCATCACTTCATGCGCCAGCACGTGGAGGCACATCTGAGGAACTCCAGCGGCTTGTTCTCTTGCTGTGTTTTATAGACATTCTGAGGCTCGTGTCATTTTGTTAATAGTATATATAGATGACACTGTCATTGCCATAGTTTTGAGAATCGGACCGGACCGACCGGTTTGACTGATTTAACCGTTGGGTTACCTAAAACAGACAATAAAAAAACCGGACAAGAACCAGTAAGGACCGGTCAAAACCGGGCAAAAACTATCAAATCGGACCGATTTTTACTACGATTCGATCAAATTCAAAAGGAAAAGTCACTTGACAGCACACGACAGTTGATCGTTGAAATACGCACTATTTGACAGCTCATTTTGTTTTTTAGTGAAAATTGTGGGCAACCGAACGTTTACCTTTCAAATTACTAAATATATACCCAAATTATAATTCGATGCAGTCAATAATTAATTATTGCAAGTAACTCCCAATATAATTGTAATTAATGTTAAATACATAATAAAATATGCAATTGTATCCTAAAAAATGTCTTTTTTTTAAAAAAAATTTGATTTGTGTTAATTTAAAATAATAAATGCTTTAAAATAATAAATGTTATATAATATTTTTTTTGCAAATATTAATATTTAAATCGAGCATTTTTTATTCTTTTTTAAAAAATTGTTTAGTATTTATAAACATTATATTTTCAATTGTATTTAAAAAATTTATTTAAAAATATTATATATAAAAATCCAGTTGAATCGTGTTAAAACCCGATTGAACCTCCCAGTTAAACACCTACCTTCACCAGTTTAATGACCGGTTTGGTCCTTAGAACATTGGTCATCACTGAGAGTTACACTATGAAGTTTCAAGATGTAAAAAAAATTATTTCCTTATCTCAGAGGAAGTATATTCTTGATTTGTTGACAGAAACAGTGAGATTAGGTGCTAAACCTTACAATGCACTAATGGCTCCAAATCTGCAACTTACAATAGGGGATGGGGAGTGATTGTAGATCCTAAGGTGTATAGAAGGTTAAGGAAAATTGAACTACCTAACAGTGACTCGTCTTAATGTTGCGCACTCTATTAGTGTAGCGAGTCAATTTATGTCCTCTCTAACTGTCATACATTAGGAAGCTTTAGGACATATTTTTATGTTACTTAAAAGGAGCTCTAGGATGTGGTTTATTATATCATAATCATGGACATTTATTGAATGTTTTGTAGATATAGATTGGGCATGTTCTAAGATAGACAAGAGATCGATCACAGAGTATTGTGTTTTTGTTGGAGGAAATTTAGTATCATAGCAAAGTACGCATCACAATGTAGTCTCTCGATCTAATGATGAATCAAATTAAGCTATGACACAATCTCTGTGTGATCATATGGACACATCAGTTGTTAAATAATTGGTCTTAAGACTTTTCTTCTTGCAAAATTGCGGTGTGATAACTAAGCCATCCTCCATATTGCTTCTAATCTTGTTTTTCATGAAAGAACCAAACAGATTAAGATTTGATTATCACTTTGATTGTGAAAAGATTCAACAAGAGATCATCTTGACAAGATATTTCACAAAAGCATTGAATGGGGTACAGGTCGAACACATTTCTAACAAGTTGAGCATAATTGATATCTATGCTCCAAGTTAAGGGGAGTTGTAGAAAGTCAGCTTTTTAGTATCAATTAGCTACCACAATTATAGGGATAAAAATCTATATTTCTGTAGAATAGAATATAAAGACATGTATGTAAAGACTTGTATTGTTGGGTCCAACCATGGATGTTCTGCATGGTCAAACGAACTCATTTCACAAGTTATTGTGTAGCTTGTGAAGTTTTTACATCTATCCTTTTATCCTATCATCTACTTAGTATGCATGCTTCCATATGACCCTAAATAATGTGGAAGGAAAAAGAAAACATAGAATAAAGTAGGTAGATTTAATGGGTCTAAATCAATTAACCAGGTTAAAGGATTATTTCGATTGTAAATTGGATAGTACTGGTGATATTGATGTCAGTGAGTAGTAACAGTGGTGGCAGGAAGAGTAGCCAACAGATATGGTGGTGGTTGTGGCTGAAGAAGAGTAGTATGGTGGCTGGTAGTCATGACAGCAACCGCTGGCATGATGGTGGCAAGCAATGGGTAGCAGTGGTACCAGCCACTATGGCAGAGAAGTGGCCGCACCCATTAAACTTTGGTTAATGGGCTGGGACAAGCATTCATACACAATTCTTATCTAACCATGAATTAGTGGATGATGGGCTGCCTCTCATGGGCAGAACAGCTCCAAACCTCATTTTGGCCCGTGAATCACGGATTAATTTGTTTTCAATTTAACACCCGTAAAATATCAATGGATTATCTATTATCTGTCCCCTTTATAACGGGTGGAAAAACAGTATTGGTCAATTTGCCACCTCTAACTGCACATACATTTGGATGGAAATTGAGTATAAAAGCTGACCAGCAAATCAAATTCTTCAAGTTCAAGCTTATTAAGAAGTACCTTCACATTCTGATGACCGACAGCCTGAGCAGCTTCTACGATAGCTTTTCCAACAGGATGAACAGTATTGGATTCTACAGCAGCAGCTAACTTCAGAACTTCACCTTCTGACCACATACTATTTGAATTTAGTCTGCATCAAAGCACATTGATTCCGACTTAGAATGCAATAGAGCAACATCAGAATATGTATCCAATCTAAAAAGGAAATGAGTTTGTTTTTTTCTCCACATGTTTGGGTACATCTAAGCAGAAAGAATTGATCGTGCTCTCAGAAACATTTATCCATTTTCATTAATACACTTTCAGATGAGAACATTGAGTATGACCACAAAAAAATAGATAATCCCCATAATTTTTTTTTTCTTACATGATAGAAGACATTTATCATGGAGAAGAAAAACTTTGATTAATCCTTACAGACTATTCATGTGAAAACTGATGCTTATATTATCAACTAGGATAAACTTCATTCTCTTAAATCTGGATTTTATTAAATGCTAACATATCAACAAAAAATCAAATGAGACAATCAGATAATCCCATAATAAGAGAAGAAATTCTGCTATAACTCAACTGTGCATCTGTAATTTTCACACCTCCAAGAGTAAGAATCTTTGTCACAACAGGTCTGCCAACTGTCAGGGTCCCTGTTTTGTCAAACACAATGGTCTTCACCATTGAAAACTTCTCTAAAATACTTCCACCACGCAAAAGCAATCCTCTTGTTGCACCCAATGACGTTCCAACCTTAAAATGTACATATAAGGTATATATATAAAAGCAATCCTCTTGTTGCACCCAATGACCGTCCAACCTTAAAAATGTACATATAAGGTATATATAATAATTATATAGTATATTATATATTATATATTATATATATATATATTATACATCAGCATATATTAAAGAAAAATAGTTAACAAGAGACAATCAAGAAGAAAGATAAGGAGAGTGGAAAGTCAGACAAGGCAAAATCTGTTATATTAAAATTTGATAACAAGTATTATTATCATAAAACTAGGGTAGTAAAGAAAGAGGATACCAGCACATGCAGTTAGGTGGTCGTGTCCGCAAACCCAAGTGCACAACGGACAAGTCAATAACCTGCATTCCAAGAAATAGGTGTTCAACTACTAAACTATATATACACACATATATAAAGAAAATAGTTAAAAAGAGAAATCAAAGAAGAAAGAAAGGAGAGTGAAAGTCAGATCAAGCAAAATCTGTTAATTAAATTTGATAACAAGATTATCCATCATAAAACTAGGGTAGTAAAGAAAGAGGATACCAGCACAGCAGTAGGTGTGGCCAAACCAAGTGCACAAGGACAAGCAATAACCTGCATTCCAGAAATAGGTGTTCACTACTAAACACTCCAAACTAATGATCAAGGTATGACAAAAATAAATTTTCAGATGTGCTAAAACAATTGATATGAGAAACGTAAGTTATCCTTATTTTAATTTTGTAGTATATCAGGAAATAGTTTGTGGAGCTTGGAAGATGAGGTAAACAACATTTTTTTTTAGTCAATATCAAATGATATCAATTGAGCATTTAAACCTGAAATCCAGTGATAAACATGATAGAAATTAGTCAAAGTGGTTCATTTCCAAAGCAATACATAAGCACAGTTAAAAAATCATCATATGGCTGGTTTCATCTAATGTGAAAGGTGAGGAACAAAACTCTTTCAACTTTTTCGAATTGAACCTTCAAAAATGCTTCCATCCTTTCATTATGCTCAATTGTTTCCATTAGCAAAGCAAGGAGCTCAATTATAACTAATTTCCTTCGAGTTTTTATCACATTATTTCACTCTCTAAGCTATGATTTGCCCTTCCATTGTCTAGTGGAAGATAGTTGTGAATTCAGGATGAAAATGTCCAATGCTAGCGTAGTCATTCTTTAGCATAATTATACATCAAATCTCGAACAAATTCTGTAACCTTTGCAACAAGAACAATAATGAAATGCAAAGAAATTGTAGAACTTTTTGGATTGCTCATTGTTAGTCATATCCATTGAATCAACAGTATATTCCATAGTCAATAGCATATTCTGTTTGTCAATGTCACATATATATATTTTTATATATTAAATCATAAATTTTTTTAATTATACTCAAATTGTTTAAAATATTGAATTTTTGAAATTATTATTTGTTATTTTAAAGCAAATTTGATGATATAACAAATTTGACATTATTTTTCTTTTATTGGATTATCTTAAAAATTATACAGCTTAACTTGAAAATTTGAGTAGTATTTTAACTAATTCAAGGTGTGAATCTTAAAATTTAAGTAAAACTTAGAGAACTAAAGATAACTAAAGAATAGCCATCTTCAAATATTTTAAATTGTTGTTGAGGAAAGCTTTGATCATTGTTTGTTGATTTGAAATTTCTTATCTTTTTCTATATGATTGTCATCAACTATCATTCGTTTTTACAAATTTAACAAGAGAAGGTTAAGAAAAATAACATTTTAGGACTTTATTTTAATCTTGTAAAAATTTAAGGAATCAAATGAAATAAAAACAAATGTATTTTTAACCTAGCCAAACAGAACCTGGCAATGGATTAATGGTTGATTTTAAAAATTGTTTGGAAAAAAAAAAAAGATTTATGACTTATTTGTAAAAGAATCAAGTGTTGGAGCTGCAAGTATAGTTTTCACTTTTCCAAACAATTTTAAGAGGAAAACAGAAACTAAGTAAAAAAAGAAATTAAAGAAAAGATGAAATGTGATTTGCTACACACACACACACACGCACATAACTTACAAGGCTCAAGCAAATTGACTGACAAGAATAAGAGCATTAATATAATAACAATGAAAAGAATATCAATAAGAGCAGAACACTTCTGAAGAAGTCACATCGCATTATAACCACTAAAGAATCAGATTGCATTGATTTTCATACCAAAACACTGCAAGAGAGCTGCAGAGCAAGAGAAACTGGATTTCCATGTTGAATTGCAGGGAGCACATGCGTTCCAAACAAGTTCCAGAACATAAATGTAGCAGCTGAGAGTGCCATTACTCCATATGTAAACTGCCCAGAAACCTGGAAACATAGGGTAAGAACTATCAGAGCCATTAAAAAACTTAAATATCAAAAGCATCCACATTAGTTTCCATCCTTTTTCATTAATAAAGTAATCCAAAAAACTATAAAGTCCACTCCTTGGTGCACAGGTTCTACAACTTGTTTCTCTACAATGCCCAAGGTTGTCAAAATCGCTTGTTTAACTTGAATCATTGGCCTACAAAATTGAATCATAAAATCGAATGGTAAAATCATAAGAGTCTATAAATTATATAATTTTAATATCACTATCACAATATCCAGCATGCAAGTGAAACCAAATCATATAACATTTATTTGAAAATTCAATGTAAAAAGAATAAGCTAATGGATGGAGAAAAATACAGAAACTTTGAACACAGTTATAGAAAAATAATGTCATGAGAAAGATACAGAAAAGAAACCTTGTCAGCCAAACGTTGTACTGGAGCCTCTCGACTTTGTGCTTCTTCCACCAAACGAATAATGTCTGCTATGGCAGTCTCACCACCTGGTCTCCGCACTTCAACTGTTAGAGTTCCATTCAGGTTTATACTTCCGGCTGCCACTTGACTCTAGCACAGGAATAAATCCACTGTTTTTATAATTTCAAAGGAGACACCAGTAACTAAAATTATTGAAGCTTTCTTTTTTTTCCCCTACTCAGAGAAGGGACAGGGGCTGGGGTATGATTGCAGAGAGAGGTAACCATGCAAACAAGAAATACTGAAATTTGTTCCATGTAACTGGAGAGGATACCCCGGGTAGTTTAGTCACTGGCAATGGCTCCCCTGTGAAACTTGACTCATCAATTGTGCTTCGACCAGCTTTTACTATTCCATCAGCTGGAACACGATCCTAAAATAACAAAAACAAATATATCAAGCTTCATGCTGATCAAATCTTAGACAAAAAGCAACCAATCATAAATTAAGAAGGAAAGGCAAAGAAAAAAGGCATAATGAGAAACAACATAGACAAAAAGAGCAAAGAGCAAACCTAAGAAGGAGAATCTTGCTAAGTAATTAAATATAGAAATTGTAGAAAATAGCATTTTAAAGGAAGTAAGTCCTTCACTTACCCCAGGTCGTACAACAATTTGGTCTCCAATGGAAAGACTGGTACTAGGAACTTCAACAATTGAATCCGGGCCTTTTGCATCACAATGAACCAGAAGACGAGCTTTAGAAGGCAAAATACTCAGAAGTCCAGTCATGTCACTGGTTGCTTTAATTTTAGCTCTTTGTTCAAGATTCCTCCCCAGCAAGACAAAAGCTATTAACATAATTGGCTCCTCAAAGAAGGCCTTCCAACCCTGTTCATACAGCATCCATTCAAGGGTAAAGAATCAGCCAATAGTGTCATTTAATAACTAGCCTAATCATCCATTTACAGTGCAACAACTACGCAATTTCTTAGAAAATAAAATGAAAAATAGTACAGTAAACATTATGTTGAAGAAGATCTAAATGAAATAATTAATGTAACCACATAAATTAAGAAACATCCCATGCGATTCAATGCTACTACTTGAGAATAATAAAATCAACAATCATGGCCACTCAAAGTAGTCTCTTCTATAATCACATTGGCTAGCAAGTAAATCAACCGCATTAACAACTGCAACCAAGCGTAAAGAATATCTTTCATGGTTGACAGATCAGATTAGCATGTCCAAAGCAAGCTTGCTTATACGTAGTAAAAGTCGTTAGGATAGTGCCATTTAATTTATAATAAAAGTATGAAAGGCCGAGTTATCCCAATGTTTGAATAACAGTTGCTGATTCTGATCAGTGACAGGCCGTCTGTTTCAACGTTTTAAAGACCTGCTAGGTCATTTTCCTAAATATGCAATTTAGTTTAAGCCAGAATAATTGAAGGATAGGCAATGTCATTAGTGTTAACAAACAATCATGTTCTAGGAAACATATAACTGAAAGCATAATAAAGAACTCAAAAAGATTTGTTGTTAGATTAAAGGAAAAAAAAAAGATTCTAGTAACATATAACATCCCAAATTCTAAGAATATAAAAAATAAACCAATGCACATGTGAAAACCAGCTCAACCATCAGAATTCACATATCCCTTCATAGACAGTCAAAGAATACAATTGAAACTAGAGGCATGACAAGGAATAAATACTACTTACCAGGCTTGGTATTAAGGCAGCTAATGAACTAACAGTAAATGAAGATAAAGCCCCAAGACCAACTAAAGTGTTCATATTTGGAGCCCCCTTAAAAAGGCTTTTCATGCCATCAAGGATAAGTTGACGTCCAGGACCAAGCAATGTAAACAAAGATAAGGACAGATGGAATCCTGTGGAATGAAACAGATTGATCCATGGGAGTTTGAGAGCAAAAATATGAGAAAGATGACCAAAGAGGCATACAGCACAGAGAGCCCAAGAGACAGCAAGCTCACGACCTGTAAAGTAAATGAGCAATTAGCATCAGGTTTCTTGATATATGCATTGCATGTAAATCTTTGCAACTAGGTAAAACTGTCAAAGCATAACTACAACAACCTGCTTCAATCTAACAAGTGTAATAAATATGCAAAAAACTAAAGCATAATCTGAACTTAACTGCTTTAACATCCTACAAAATGTAACAAGACATTTACCACTTTCTTTTAAGCGATCATGCTTTTCATCCATTTTCTTTTCAAAAACTCTTAGGAAATTGTCTGTCCCCGCATCTGGTTATAAGCAAGAAATCAATAGTCAATACATTGCAAGAGAATTGGACAATAAGGTATAGAAATGCCAAACATATTTGAAAAATAATTTAAAAAAATTTAAAAAGACAACATTTAATCTAGATTACAGACCACTAACATAAATTAAGTTTTATGGTTGAACCTCTGAGTTCACTGATTTGTTCACTCCAAACATAGTTGAAAATAAAGGAAAGTCAAAAACAGATTTTATCAACCTGGTGCCAAAAGAGATTTAAGTTGTCATTTTGACTATCCAGATGCATGAAATTTCAACTTTTCTATATTTCTACTATCCAAAGATTAGACCATAATATGCCGATGTAACTTATGGCATTTAATATGATGCAGCTGATTTTTTATCAAAGGAGTGCCTGTAAATAAATAAAGCTCCGTTCCAAGTGTCTAGTCTCTTCAAACCAAGGAAATTACTGGATCCCCCCCCCCAAAAAAAAAAAAAAAAAAAAAAAAAAAAAAAAAAAAAAAAAAAAGAGACCCATCATTTACCACCTAACGCGACTCCAAAATTAAGTCAGCCTCATAGGGCACTCCATCCTATACACCTGGCTTATAAAACCAACTACGAAACTTCTCCTTGTCACTTATTACCTACCAAACAACTCTTGGACATGTTAAGCCTCATCCTATCTCCTGAAAAATATCTAACGAAGTACCACCAAATAAGTAGGTGTTTTGTAGGGCTAAATTAAATTAAAGCAAGTTTGCTGTCATCTGAGATGTGGAACTTACTCATACAAGGGACCGGCTTAGGCAAACTGTAAACATTTAGGGGATTCTGGTTTCCCTTTCTAAACTGCCATGACCAACCAAATTTATTTGCCTAAGTAACAAAGTATTGGGAAAAGTATAATAAGAAACAAAACCATGGGAAAAAGCAATTTGAAATGATCCCCCACAAGCATTTTGATTGGTCTCCAACAGAACAAACAAAGAACCAGCTTTGTGCAATAAATAAAAGACAACACTACAGGTAAGACCAACAATTATGTCCTGTTTATAGTTCAGAAACATGATTATGAGAACACAAAACTGAGAATAAAAGCATTATAGGAAGATAAATATGTGACAAACAAAAAGAAGAAGTACTGCCAACATATACACCAAATCCTTAATAATATACAACGAGGCCTCCGCTCGAATGTGTACAGGAACTACATCTAAACGAACAGAAGATACTGAACTTTCCCCGACTTCCAGGAAACAAATACCAAGATTAAATGTGCCCTAAATAACACATGAGAATTACAATTGTCAACACTCTTGCACTAAAAATACATTCAATCAAAACAGATGAACATCCTAAGTTTCCTATAATAACTAAAGACAAGTAAACCAGATTGTATAATAGCAGATTCTCAAAAATAAATGGGCTCCTCAGCCTCAGAAAGCTCTCCCTTCACCAATCCACCAAAGTAGCTGCTGACACTCACCTACTGGAGGGAGAAATCATATGATTAACATTTGCTACTAAACTTGTAATTTGGTGTCTAGTAGAATGGAAATGATATTGCAAAATACGTTCATATAGCACCATAAAAAACTCAATGAATTAGGGACATACCATAAAGAACTAAGGTTGCTCCATACAAGAAATCTTGGACATTTCTAGGGTGAAATATCTCCTTCAATAGCTCCCTGACCTGCCACTAATTCACCAGATTTTGAATGAATTATGAAAACCCTAAGTTTCCAATGTGTGCTCTGATTTAGATAGAAGTGTTCCTAACAGCAGGTGGTTATACATGATAACTTTAGAAGAACAGGTAACAGAACTAATCTTTCTACCCTTACAGATCAATTGACATGACCAGCATAAAAAAAAAGAAATATCAGCACAATTTCCAGTGGATTAATTTTTCCAAATTCCAATGTCTTCAAAAGCAGATGCTAGAAAACCTATAAGGATCAGACTTTGGCAATAATTAAAATTTGGAAATGCCTCTTCAGAACAAGTTCAAAGGTACAATAAAGAGTAACAGGAAATAAAAACACTGAACCAAGAACAGACTTTTTGGGAGAAAACACTAACAAATCGTCACTGAATATTCAACAGTTAGCCAATGATCCAAGGCAATGCTACCAAATATTTGTAACTATCAATCAACCCAAGCCTTTTTGTTTGTGTGTGTGCGTGTGTGTGTGTGTGTGTGTGCGCTTTATGTAAGAGCATTTGTTTTATAAGAGATTATATCTTTAGTGCAAAAAATTGATAGGAGACTACACTGTTGGGGACAAGAATCCTACAAGACTCAATACATAACTACAAACAAGAACCTAAAAAACAAGCTAAAACTGCAAGTTCCTCCAATCAAGTTACACAACACTCAAAAAGCTCTCCTTAGAGCTCCTAAAGGATAAGCTAGATAGAAACCAAAACATCTTTCCCACAATAAAACTGTAAAACGTTTCTCATAAATGTAGAACATGAATGTAAGGCAGACAGCATAAGATATGAACGGAATAGCATGATTATTAAAAAAAAAAGAAGCATCCATCATAGTGCCAACAATGTGTCATCTGTGCCTACTTGTGTACTTGTTAGAGCGAGTTTTGTGATTTTTCCAGTTTCCATAGTCAGGAATCCTCTATCAGCACGCTAGTTGCAAGATTTCACAAAGATATCTATTTTCAGAAGCTAACTGTAGTTTTTAATCCTAGAATGATGTCTATAGATGAAAGGAACCATTGGATGTTTGAAGGGGAGGGGCCAAAAATAAAAGCATAACCTCTGTGTAATTTATCTACATGGAAAAGGAGATAATATCTTTAAATCCTTGTAAATTTTCTCAATCTACAACTGTTTTTCCTTTTTAATTTACTTTGTCATTTTCTCAAGTTTCCTGCCAATTGTGGTCTCTCTTTTATGCATCTAGTCTACTTGAGGAACACCAAAAAAAGTCTGAAAAACATTTTTACCATGCTACTAGTCATACAATAGTCTTAATCAGCATATGCAAACACATTGAAAATGCCACAGATATTACAGCAACACCAACAATCTAGTAGGTTAAAAAGTAAAAACAAGATAAATAAAAGAAGGGAAATGCCAAAAGAAAATCTGATATGCCAATAAGAGATGAAAGGAAAAGGTACAAATATTTAAATGCCCTTTGTGCTTTCCAGCTAGATGAGGAAAGTGCCTATAACAATTATCATGGCAACTACAATGACAATGATGATTATATGCTTACCTCGAAGGTTAGATTTGAACCCACAATTTGTCAGATGTTTTGCAAGTTCCTCTCCCAACTGTTTTTGCCAGTTTGGTACAACTTTTGCCTCAGATACAGGCCACACTACTGCAATCTCTGTTGTGAGATTTACACTAGCAGAGGAGACTTGTGGCTGCACGTAAATATGATAAACAATTAAACAAAGAACACAGACATCATCTTTGCAGAAAACAGCACAAAGTTGTAAAACAAAACGCATTAAAATTTTGAAGGAAAAAAAAGAGGCGTTATGGTGTCCTCTACATGTGATTCTTACACTCTTTCGCTTCAGTCGGGCTAAATTCCATTCCCCATCATGACTACCAAAAGAAAAGACATCAAATCCCACCCAACCAGCACTCTGAATCAAAATATCTTTGCCAAATACGGGTACTAAGATTAAAAAATTCAATTCTTTTTCAAAGCAGAAACACTACACCAATATTTTCATTCTCTCATTTTTTTTTTTTTTTTTTTTTTTTGTGAGTTTAACTAACGTAAATCGTGTCCAGAAAAAAAACAAAAAGACTCAAAAATAATATATTTTATTGTGCTCACAGAAGCAATAGAAGAAATGCCTTAAAACTTTTTCTCACTTGTATTAGCCCAAATTAAATTACTAATAAGTTACGTGGAAAAAAAATAAATTTACTTGGTTTCCAGTATGCTTCTTACACTGCTGGCACATCCTCCACATGTCATCCGCAGGAGACCAAAATTAAAATTTTTTTTTTTTTTTTTGTGAGTTTAACTAACTAAAATCTTGTCCAGAAAAACAATAAAAGACTCAAAATAATATATTTTTATTTTGCTCACAGAAGCAATAAAGAAATGCCTTAAAACTTTTCTCACTTGTATTAGCCAAATTAAATTACTTAATAAGTTACTTGGGAAAAAATAATTACTTGGTTTTCCAGTATTCTCTTGACACTGGCTGCACATCCTCCACATGTCATTCCCTGTCAAGGAGACCAAAATTAATTTAGCATGTAGCCTTATAAGAGAAAATAAATAAATAAAACAAATATAGATAAATAAACATTGAGAGAGAGAGAAAGAAAAGAGAAAGGAAAGAGAAGTTACTCCAACATCAAGTATAATAACATCCGAAGACAGCGCCGAGACATCCTCTGCCGCTCCAGCAGCCAATTTCGATTTTCCATCTCCGCCATCATACCCCTCACCACCTCCGCCGCCGCCGTTGCCATCCCCACCAAACAAGCCTCCACCGCCGCTTCCACCTCCAGAGGTCGCAAAAGAGGACGCGGAGTTCGACACGCACTCTGAACGGCGCCGTAAAAGCGGCAACAGGGAGTAGAAGCGCCTCAAATTAGAAGATGACGAGGAGGAAACATTGCGAGGAGAGTAAACGGAACTGAGTCGGCGATTTACAGGGTGAGTCGGGAGGAGGAGGGAGGTAGTTTTGTTAGTGAAATGACGGTTTAGAGCTCTGGATATGGTGAAGAGAGTTAAGGAAGATGTTGAGAGAGACAATGTAGACTCCATTTGAGAGATAGAGAAATTCAAAGAAACGTCTCCATATCTATATATCTATCGGTTCGGTTTGTTTATCCAGTTGTTGTTTTTCTACCTACCTATCTGCCTTGCAATTTCTAATGCTGCCTTGACTTGAGCGCGAGTGTGGTCGAAATTTCAGTTATTTATAAAATAGCCCCTTGGAATTATTTAAATAAACACTTTGACGCATATATTATTTTAAATTTATCAATGTAATCCCTGAGATTGTGCGGCATAAATTATTAAATATAGTGCAAAAGCAAAGAGAGATAGAGAGGAGAAATGCATAATAAAAATTAAAAGTGAAAAAACAATCAATGTATTTAGTCTTATTATGCATGATTTGATATTTATCAATTTCTCAGTCCACATGTACCATCTGATTTAAAATTATGTTCAATCAACATCTCTACATCAAATAGTATGGACAACATTTCTTTTACTTTGGATCATTGTTATATAATTTGTGGAAAATCTACCAAATGCATCTTCTTTCCATTGTTGCAGTTAAAATTTCCTCTCTTGATGTGAAATTGACCAAACTTGCAAAATTTCAGATTGTTTTATATCAAAAAATTGAAAAAATGCCAAAAAATAGAAACTTCAATTCACCTGTATATGAAGGTGCTTTTTATTGCCTAAGACGCATCTTGCAAGCATAAGAGAAGTTTTAAGAAATTCTTTGTTCCATAACCCGAACCATTACTCCAAAATCTGTTAGTTTTTGTCCTTGAAGCAGGTAAATCAACAATGCCACAACTGCTGTCGACATTGCAATCATCAAGTATATGAATAGTTTATAATTGTCTTATATTGAAATTTAGAACTATAGAAATTCCTCAACTGTAGCTTTAGAAATCTACATTCATTGCCTTCTTGAGTTCCTCAATTGTTGCTTGATGATTCTGCTAGTTTTACAGGCTTCAAAAGTGAAACACTATTATCCAAGCACTGCAATGTTGGAAAATAACTTTGACAAGCCCTTAGACGCTCTCGATTCAACAGGAAACCCAAAACACCAGCACAAAAGAAAAAAAAAAAGAAAGAAAAGAAAAGAAAAGAAAAGAAAAGAACAAGCATATTAGAAAAAAATACTAATAAACTACAGTTTAGAACCTGGAACTGTACATTTTGTCTTTTTATCATTGTACCACATGGTGCGACATAGGAAAATAAAGCAATCAAAGGTACAACAAAAAAACTATTTTCCTTAGATTCCCAGGTACTGGTCCAGTAATATGTGAAATAAAAACAATAAGAAAAAGGAAAATTACTTGAACAAAGCATACTGTTGTTGTTGTGGCTGTTAGGCGTGACCCCAAGTTTTTACCAAGTAATTTGACATAAACAATGGGTTTAAGGTCTCAGATTCTGTGATAACACAAGGGATGTGAGCAATGACAGGCCAATAATCTCCTTTCCCTCTTAAGCACCTTTGTTTTAGAATAGGGCAACACAAGATTTCCAGGAACCCAAGGGTGGTAGGTAGACCCTCCTTCGGTAAGGAACATATTTTAGGGCAATTCCAAATCCATAAATTTTCAAGAGAGGTGAGGCTTTGGAGGCCACTGGATATGCATTTCAAATTCTTCAGTCCATCTATCCAAAGCAAGGTTAGAGAAGCAGGAAGCAGTAGACCATCTTTATCTGGAAAGAAATCAACATCTGTACTAGGACTTGTGCCTTTGATTGAGAGTCGTTTAAGAGAGGTGAGTTTATGTAGTCCCCACTCTGACATGGGCTGGCTCAAATTCTTACATTCCCTTATTCGAAGTGTAGTTAAGTTTGGTGGCAAACCTCCTTCTGGAAAAGACAATAAATTTCCACAATCATATATTTCAAAATACAAAAGACACATCAGGTCCTGCATCTCCTTGGGCAGACATTTCAAATTCTTGCACCTTGAAATTGTAAGATAGATGAGAGTTGGGATTGCCAAACCCCCTCCTGGGAACCGCTCTAAGTCATGACAATCTTTTAGTTCTAAATAAGTGAGATGTGAAAACCTATCATGTTGCAACTCTAACAATTTGTTTGTGCAAAAACAAATTGTAAGAGTTCTGAGTGAATTGCAGAGCTCACCAATCTCAAAGGAAGCAAGTGATGGACATCCTTCAATAGCCAGCTTCTTAAGATGAGACGTCTCATTTTTATCAGTTGCATGACGTATAATGCCCTTCGGTACAGACAACAAAGAATTGCAATCTCTAATTGTGAAATGTCTGAGAAAGTATGGCAAACCTGCTGCTGGAAAAGATGCAAGTTTTGGACAACTCTGGATTCTCAAAACTCCAAGAGATGTGAGGTTGTGCAGCCCATTTGGCAGCTTTTCCAGATTTTGACACTTTTTTATGATCAAAACTTCAAGATTGCAAGGCAAAAGACCTTCCTCTCCCTCTATCAATGACACAAGCTGCTTACAGTTTTGGATATATAAACGTCTCAGACTAGTGAATCTGTTTACGTTACTTCCATCATGCCACAAGAACATTAATTCACGACAATCTGCAATCTCCAAATCTTCAAGTGCAACCAAAGCCAGTATAGGCATTTCATCTAAACTTACAAGGCTTGAAATTCTCCTAATCTTTAAAGTAGTGAGGGAAAATAGATCATTTGCACTTCGCAGAACCAGCTCTTGACAATTTTCAATGATCAATTTGCGGAGAGATGGAAGGACATCAGGTAGCTCTCCTAATTGTGGGCAATCACAAATATTAAGTATCTCCAAAGAAGGAAGGAACCTGGGTAGTTTTCCGACCAACTTTGGACAATTTCTCATTGTAAGTTTGCGCAAATTCATAAATGTTCGTCCAGCTTCTTTGCTAGACCATTGCTCCCACCCTGCCATGTTCTTCATGGTTAGAGTCTCTAGAGATGGAAAGGCTTCAATAGAAGGAGAAACATTCCCATGGAACTCATTACCTACTTCTTTTATTCCAACCATTCCTACTATGTTTAACTTTTTAAGCAAAGGTAGTTGCCCAAGTGCTGGTAGAGAGGTGATTTTACGACAATAGCAAAGCTCTAGACATGTCATATTAATGAATTTGGGATCTCCTATCCAAAATGGGAATTTTGTTCCACTGTAGAATTTAATAGAAAGCTTTTCCAGACTTTGAGGAGGCTGTAAAGAGTTGAGGACCTGCAGTTCATCCCTTTCATTTTGCAAACCATGTAAGTTATCAATCCATTCCAAGGTTAATGCATTAATGCCTTTCTTCTCCTTCAGCTTGATGAGTTCTGAATCTCGAACATGTACCACGTTATGCAATCCTGTAATATGAAGCCCCTCTTGTAGATGACATAATTTCATCAACTCTGTTATTCCAAACCCGCAGCCTTTTCCAACGATAAACTTAGGCAAAATGTGCAAATTTGTTAAATTGCCTATATGTGGTGGCATCTCGTGCAAACTATTTGTATCACTTATGTCAAGGTATTGCAAATTTATTAGTTCACTAATACCTATAGGCAACTTAACAAGTTTTTGGCACCCACGTAATTTCAAAGTCTGAAGGTTGAAGAGCTTGCAGGAGGATTCAGGTAACTTTGTAACTTCAGTAAAAGACAGATTAAGGTACCGCAAATGCTTTAAGGCACCAATAGAACTTGGCAATTCCTCAAAACAATAACCAGCCAATGATAGAACCGTTAAGCTTCTTAATTTTGGCAACAAGTCATGCAACACCTTACTAGTTAATTGGTAATAGTGTGATGGTAGGATTGGTAATGCCAAGAATGTACGCAAGCTCTTCATTTCATGGAAGACCTCAAATCTTTGTGAGATGTCACAGACGTGATGAGAAAACGATGAATGGCGCACCTTTGCATTTGATTTTACAACCTCTAGCTTATCATCCAGATGAAAACATACTTCTTCATTGACAGATCGAGCCAGGTTTCTTATCAAGTCATGCATTACATATTGTGATTTGTTGCTACTTGACTGTTGAAAAAATGATCTGGAAAACAAGTCACGAAAATATTCAAGACCCAAGTCCTCAGTTGACTTTGTGTCCTTTGATTGTTGCAAAAATCCCTCCGCCATCCAAAGTAAAACCAACTCTTTTTCGTCAAATTTGTAGTCCTTTGGAAATATTGCACAGTATGCAAAGCATCGTTTCAGATGAGATGGGAGATGGTGGTAGCTCAACCTTAAGGCTGGAAGAATACCACTTTTCTCCTGAGGTAAATCCCATATATTGCTGTTCAAGACTTTTCCCCACGCATCATGACTCAATTTACCTCGTAAAAGGCCTCCAAGGGCCTTAGCAGCCAAAGGCAATCCTTGACACCTTCTAACAATTGCTTTTCCTATTTCTTCCAAATGTGAGTGTGCTGCAAAATTTGTCGTCCCCAAAGCATGTTGTGCAAACACAGCCAGACAATCATCATGAGACAAGGCCTTTAAAGTATAAGCTGGAACATTACCCATCATTAATGAAACACCTTGATTCCGAGTTGTAACAATGAATCTGCTTCCTGGTGCCCCTGCTTCAAAAGGACCGCAAAAGAGAGTCCAATCATCATAATTCTCACTCCAAACATCATCTAAGACAATCAAAAATTTCTTTCCTGACAAATTCTCCTTTAATTTTACTTGAAGAGAATCTAAATCCTTAGCATCATAACTCTCAGAATGCAAAATTGTTTTTGTTACTTCAATAACATCAAAATGTTCACCCACTGACACCCAAGCCTTCAAATCAAACTCCAAAGTGGCATTATTAAAGATGAGTTGAGCAAGAGTTGTCTTACCTATACCTCCCATTCCAGTTATAGGAATAACACAGATGTCTTCACCACCGCTTTCTTTACCCTTTAATAGTTCAAGTATTGCCTTCTGATCATCTTCTCTTCCATAAATTTTTGCTTCATTCACCAATGAAGTTGTCGGCTGTCTCTCTCTCACACTGCTGCTCCTCCCTCCAACACTCTCTCTTAGATCCAGGTCACGTTTTGCAGCTGTGATCTTCTCTAATCTGGCAGTAATCGCCTCCATCTTGGAAAGCAGCTTACCATTGAACTTGACTCTGCTTCGATTCACTCCATAAATACAAGTAGGGACAAGTTTATGCACCTTACATGTCATAGCCAGAGGTTCTGCCATCAACCTTCGTCGCAAAACCTCAGTAGCAAATTCATCAAGCACATCCTCCACATCATAAGCCAAATCTCTAAGCTCAGTTACCCAGATTTTCACGAACCCATTAGTCATCTGCTTCTCCTCTGCATCATCAAGCACAGAATAAATTATCTTCAACATGCTTTCCCACTTCTCTATTTCAGCCCGCACTTTGCCTTGGCTTGCATACTTGAGCAAGTCATGGGAAGACAACTTGTCAAACAGGCCTTGCAAAGAAGCCGAAAGTATAGCGCCTCCAATGGTAGTCACAGCTTCCATTACAACAAATCAATTATCAGCCAAACAAAGTGTTCAAGGAAAGATTTGGGAGAAAGAGAGAACTTTTACCAAATCAAGAGAGAGTTTAGGTGAAAAGATAATACCATTATTTTCTACCAGAACCCAAGTTTTAGACCTTTCATTGGTGTCAAGCCTTCAGTTTAGTCAATATATCATTTACAGAGAAACTTCTCAATTTATAATTTAAACAGTCATGTGATTACTTTAGAGTCGCTCGTTACACGTTAGACAAGAAGTGCAGTATTTTGACTTTGACTAAAAAAAAAAATTTTTTTAAAATGAATGGAAAATGACAGAGTTTTTACTTGTTGGAGGCTCTTTTTGATGGTGTTTAGCCTTCTCTAGCGTCATTTCTTGATTTCCTCTTCTTCTTACTGATCTTCTTCTCTATGAGCTTTTGCTTCCTTATTAATTGAAGCCACCATTTTTCAGACGGTGAATAGAGGTTTTCCAGTCGGAAGGTCGTTTCCGACCAGATGAAAAAAGCGCCGCGTTTTGAGTTTATAGGCAAGAACAACGACGACATTATAGAATTGCCATCATTGAAGATGATGAAAACGGATGCTTTTAGCCGGTTAGATTATAACGGTGGACCGAATCGTTAAAAATTTGGATCCGGGTTATTGGATCATGGTAAACCATATACAAATCCTAGAACTTCAAAAAGACCCTCCCTGCAACCTTAATGATCTTTATTCTGCTCTACCCCACGGCCACGGCGTCGCTTTCAGAAAGCTACAACTGCTTGTGAGTTTGTCAACTTCATTAACAAATGCTGTGTTTGATTCTTAACAAAACTTCGTTTACAAAAATTTCCCATTTTCCTGTGGTTAATTAAGATTATTTATTTCTGAAATAGCAGAAATTACCTGATCATTGAAAAAGAAATTAACTTCCAAATCTTTACCTTTATTTGTCATGTGGGTAATTACTGATTCTTATAACCATTGTAGTGGAATTTTTGTTTCCATTGCTGCTTTTTTTTTTGGTTATTTTCTTGTGTTCTTTGTATGTAATTTGACATTTTCTCTATCAGGAAAATTCAAATCATTGTTTTGCCGTTACTGAATAAACCTTGGCTCACTAGTTAGTGCAGTTCTGTTATCTGAGTTAAGAAATTTGAATACTTTATCATCTGAAAAAGAAGCTTGTGCTATTTGAAGAGATTAAACCAGATAAATAAGATGGGAAGGGAACTTGCAGATCTCCCTATGAAGCTTCTGATGCCTTCCTCCTTTGACAACATCAAAGAAATTTCATTCAAAACGATTCCTTCTGTGTCAAAGGTACTTGGCAAGAAGTTGACAATCTTCTTCTTCTCCAATAAATATATAATTCCCTTAAAATGTCTAAAATGTGATTTAACAGGTTCAGATCAAGAAGGTGTTGGAATCAATATATGGCTTTGAAGTTGAAAAAGTGAGGACGCTAAACATGGAAGGTAAGAAGAAGAGGAGAGGCGGTCGTTTAGTTGCTAAACCAAATTACAAGAAGGCTTGTGTGACATTCAAGAATCCAATTTCCATTGCTTCTGACCTGTACCCTGCCGAAGCAATTGAAAAGAAGAGAAGAAGCTCAAGTAAGTATTCAAAATCTGGTTATTTTCAAGAAGATGATGTGAAACTGAAGTCTGGTTCGCTTGACAATGACAAGCAACATAGAAACTTTTGTACCACTGGTACCTTTGGTCAACTAAACTCACCGAGTGGTATGCATTCTTCAAGATAGTTAATTTATGAGTAATAGTTTCTCTTCGGAGCCTATAGCGATTGCCAGTGTGTCTCATCCTCATAATCTCAATCAAAATTGTAGATGTTGTAGTCTTAAATAGCCGCTTCTATTGTTCAAAAGAATATATATATATATATATATTGAATATGGTAGTGGTAGACAGCAATTAGGACCAAATCATTTACACTATGTTCGGGAGGAGACGAAAGAAACCAAGGGAAACAAGGGAGGATAAGGATTGTCCTGTTCACTTTCTCTTCTCGTTTTTCACTTTGTTTTGGATTGGAAGGAAATTAAATTATTTTCACTTGTTTGAAAAGGAACAAATTATGAAGAAAAGAAAATTATTGTAAAATTTACAGTATTATTGTAAAATTTACATTTTTACCCTATATGTAATATAAATATTATTTTTATAAAATTAATAAGTTTATAATTTATTAACTCAGTTTATGAAATAAAATAAAATAGCAATGCAGATTTTTGTTCTATAATTTGTTAATTTTAAATTAAACAATTAGAATTAGACAGTCCCATTATTAAACAATTATAATGGATGATATTCTCATACTGTTGATAAAAGCTAACAGTTTTCTTTATATTTTAGGAAGTTGAAATGAGTACATTTATCTTTTTTTTTTTTTATTCGATATTATTTACAAAGAATTTTCTACATTATACACTGTGAATAACTGTTATAACAATTTGAAAGCCCATCAAAAGCGGAACAACCCACTAAAGGAAATAAATACAAATTAAAATTAAATGTCATCATTGAAAGAAACAAATGGAGAGGAATAAATCCCAATTTTAAATATGAATTTTTCCGTTGCGTTTTCAATGTTAAATTGGTGGGCCCCAGAGAAAAATTAATGCTATTTTCCTTCCCTCACTATTTTCCAACGTAGTCCCAAACGAGAGATTTTAACCTTCCTTCTAAATTTTACCTCCTTTCACGCGGTTCCAAACAGGCTGTTAAGGTAACCGATATGGTCCCAACAGAGAGAGCAAAGGCATTAGTAGAACAAGTTGCATTGATTTGGTCAAATTAACCCAAGGAAGTCAGTACAGGAATCTAATCTTTTTATCTTAGCAAGATCCCAAAAAGAAATGGGTTAATATGTAATTAACTGTCAAATCAAATGGTAATTATTTTGCATTAAGTTTGGAGGAAGGAAAATGTTGTAAAAACTTCAAAAAGGATGCTTTTAGAAAGGTCAGTTCCAAACAGAAACTCCCAAGTCAAAAAGTAGAGGTTAAATACAATCATAACCAAGACTACATACAAATTGAAACATAAGTCCATCTTCCAATAGATTGCGGTTTTCAGCATATACAAGTGACACATTAATCTTTATATCTACCTTAGAAAACTTTTCAAGTGGAAACAAAGTTTGAGGGATAACCGAAAGAGTGTCCTGTCTGTCTTCCTCTCAGTGATAACCAAGAGGGGCTGGTGCCTCTCTCAATTCCTTACCCTGATAATGAATATCCTGCATGGCAAGTACAGGGTTTAATGAAATTTCATGGTGAGTATATTAAAGCAAAAGCAAAACTATATATAATCATCAAGGCTGGAAAGTGACATAAAAAAAAAAACAAAGTTTAAGACTCAGAACCATTAAACAAATGAAGAATGGGAGGATTTGTATTATAGAATTGAAATTTCTAGTCTAATGCTCTTGTATTGCTTAGTTTTTCTTTTATATTATTATTGTGCATCATATTGAGAGTTATTTATTCATAACAAATCCCCTCTGTACTTTACTACTAGCATAATTATTTAAACAACAAGAACTTTGGTTATCTTCCTCAGCTACTTCCTTCTCACACAAAGGCAAAAAAGAACCAATTTTTCCATTAGCCCTGCTCCCATGATTGAGAATGATGCTAATTACCATGTTTTCCTCAAAATCAATTTAACTACCTAATTATCTATTTTCTCAAAGTAGAACATAGGCTTCATTAAAGGAAATAAAGATGCTGGTTACTGAACCTCAATTACTATCCAATCAAGCACAGAACATGCATCATAACTAATTTCATGCATATATTTCTGTAGCTAATAAAAATAATAGTTGGAATCGATTTTTCCTCATAACGTTGTTAATATCATGCCCCATGCTAGTAGAACTAAATTAAGAGCATTTTACTGATGTGAAATTTAAAAAGTATCAATAGAAGAGCAAGTGATACTCACAGAAGCAAAGTGGTTAACATCACGATGGTGAGCTTCATCAGCACGGATCACAGTTATAACATCCTCCAAAGTTGCATCCTTTGGCAGTCTCCAGTAGTCTATGGCAATAGCAGGAGCTGGAACATTTTCAATTTTACCATCTTTGATATCTTTCAGAAACTCTGTATATGAGTGTATGGCTTCTTCCTCCAAATACCCAGTAATTCTATGAGCCAGTTTGGGAGAGAGCAGATAAAGCACAAAGTAAGCATTGAAGAATACACCCTGCACTGCAAGAACCAGCAACCTCTCGTACCATCTAGGCTGAACAAGCTCAACCATTGTCATTAGGTGCATCCTCTCATTCTCTGCTTCCTCAAGCAGGGCTTTAATCCAACCACCACTTTGCTGGAACCTGCGGAGAGACCTCAGGTGCAGCAACATCCCTCCAACCATACCAGGAACAGCAGCCACAGTTTCCAACATCATGGCACGACACCCATACCGTCTCTGCAATACCATTCACAAACACAGAGCGATCAAGAAAACATTATTGAAAGCCAGGCATACTTCCAAGATGTTTGATTAAAATGTATGGTCTATCCCTAGGAAAACTGAATAACTGAAGGTGTAGAAGGCTGTCTATGCCCAGAAATGCATTTCGGCACAATTATGCAATATTTCAAAGCAAATTTTCATCAAAAAAAAAAAAAAAAAGGGAGACAATACTCTGTGAGTAATGGTTATGGCCGGTCCTCCAAATACCAGTAATTCTATGAGCCAGTTGGAGAAGCAGATAAACAACAAAGTAAGCATATGAAGAAACAACCCTGCACGGTGACGAAGAACCAGCAAGCCCTCCTCGTACCATCAGTGGCTGAACAAGCTCAACCATGTTCCATTCAGGTGCATCCTCCTCATTCTTGCCGCTCCATCATAGCAAGAGCTTTAATCCTAACCTCCACCCACTTGCTGGAACCTGGGAGAACCTCAGGTCCCTACAACATTCCTCAACCATTACCAGGAACAGCATAGCCACCAGTTCCAACATCTATTGGCACACCACCCATACCGTCTCTGCTCACTAACATTCATCAAACACAGAAGCGATCAAGAAAACATTATTGAAAGCCAGGCATTACTTCCAAGATATGTTTGATTAAAAATGTATGGTCGTACTCCCATAGGAAACTGAAAACTAATGGTGTAGAGGCTGTCTATGCCCAGAAATGCATTTCGGCACAATATCAACTATTTCAAGCAAATTTTCATCAAAAAAAAAAAAAAAAGGGGGTGGAGGACTTCAAAAAAGAAGGGAAACAATTTCCTTGATATATATCTCTTGCCCCTTACCAAATAATCCAAGATTTGCCAGGGGCATTAGATTATTATCCATTCAAATAAAAAAACAAAAAATAAAACACACAGGATAGGGGAAATATCAAAAAAGAAAGGGGAACATTTTCTTTGATCTTTTATATGCATCCCTCTCCAAAACATAATCCAAGATACTCAGGGGACATTATGTTATTAATCCATCACTTAGAAAAATCAGCGTAAAAAAAAAAAAAAAAAAAAAAAGGGATGGAGATTCAAAAAAGAAGGGGAAACAATTTCTTGATATTATATTCCTTCCCCGTACAAATAATCAAGATGCAGGGGCATTAGTTATTATCCATTTCACGAGAAAAATCAGTAAAATAAAAATCCTAAGGGAATCTGTCATCAAAAGGGTATAATCAAATACAGGATCTAGACAATTAGATACATAAATTCTGCTAAAGAATCAAATAATATCCCATTAATATCTTAAAATTTATAAAAATGTCCCTTTTAAAGATCTCTCTGCACAACTGATCATTTTCCCTTCCAAAGAATTTTCAAAGTGATGCTAATACAGAACCAGAAAATGCAAAAATTCCTATAATAATGAAGTATGAGGCAATTCTATCCATCATTAATCATTTTAGCCGTAGACATCAAAGAAATTTCTCATCCGCTGACTTTAAGATGTAAATTTGAAAATACCGACCCATTAATTTTTTGAAATTGAATCTAAAATTAGAGAAACCAGCCCTTGAACCGTTGAGGAGTAAGCCCCTGAACATCGGAAACATAACATACACAATTGCTTCCCTGTAATGTCAATAACTCCAAAATTCTAAACCCCCTGATCCATCTGAATTTTAAGCCGAAAATTCTACTCATCACCGGAAAACGATCTACATTTTTCTAAACAGTAAGTTTCCTTGCACGATAAAATTCTAATTCCAAACTAAACTTATCAATATTCAGAAGAAGAAGACGACGAACCTGAAAAAATATATCCGTTGGAATTCGAAGGAGCTTCACTGTCCTGTACGCAACCTTATCAAGGAAGGTCTTCGGCACATGATGCTTACTCAGATCTATCGATGTATTTGACTTGTAAGTTTCCCATGGCTACACGATCAGAAAATCGACGGTTAGTCATAGTTTAAGCACAAATTAATCATTTCTAAACATCAAGAAACACATACCATAAAGCAATTCCATGGCCATTCAGTCCCATCTTCTCTCACAATCTTAGGCCTTGAAATCCCCCAGTAGCTCGAAACCACCGCACCATCACTCGTCTTCACATATTCTACTCCTTTCTCCGCCGATTTCCCCACCGCCTTCTCCTTATTCTCCTTCTCAGCCACCGCTGTCTCCGCCGCAGAGCTCATCATCCTTCTCCAGTAAAACACTCCAAAAGACGCACCGTTTTGGTTCCTTAACTCCTTCCATGCCTCCACCGGCTTCACAGCACCAACCGCCGTCACCGTCGAAATGTACCTGCCACCACTGCCACCATTGATCAGCAAGCCTCGCACCACCGTCCTCCGCACCAAGTAATTCATTTTCGTTGCTTTAGGGTTTGGGCTTTTCTTCTTCTTCTTCTTCTTTGATGACTTTCTCTATGCAGGGGTTTAGAGGTGTCTTTGTTGAGGTTTTATGAGGACGAGAAGGAAGGGAAATCACGAAAAAGGAAGGGATGGTCATATCGTGTTTCGCGGGTTTATCAGTGCTTGGGCTGCAAGGAAAATTTTGACGGTTGAGATCGTTTGATGCTTAGGAACATTCTTCTTGTCGTAAGGTGCGATTGATTGGATTTTGGTTTCCAAGGAAACGTGAGATTTCCGGAGTACTGGCTGCAGGTTGGCGGTTGTCTAGAGAAATCGATTCTGTGTGATGCAATATACAATTCATCAGACAGTCGCTCAATTAATCAAATATTATTGATAAGATTAATATTTTTTATTAAAAAGTTTCTAAAAATTCGACTTCTCAAAAAAAATACTAAAAACTCCTAAACTTCTACTGTTTTTCAATTTTAGCCTAAATATTTCAATTTTTTAGCTACCATTCACCATTGGGGCCAAAATCATTCACCAGCATTCTATTAAATTATATACAATTTTTTAATTTTTTAATTTACCAATTTTTATTTATAGATTTTACTTATATAACTTAAATATATTATATATAGTTAAAGAAACATCTTTATTTGAAATATCCTTCATTTAGTTAAATAGATAAAAAATACCTTAAAAATATATTTGTTTTTTTATATATATAGGTTAAAGAAGACTTTTATTTGAAATATTATTTTAGTTAAATACTTAATTTGTTGTTAGCAAAAGTCAGTTTTTCATATTAATACCTTAGAAATCATTGTATCACTCTATTTAATTTGATTAAGTAAATCTATTAAATTAAAATGTTTAGCAAAAGATTTTTTTTTATACTTGCAAAATGTGTCCAAGTCTGTGTCAATTTTAATAGTTCACAAATCTAACTAATCACTTGCTCGCCCTTTGAGGCAAAGGGAATAATTGGAGAGAATTTACGTTGTAGAGAATTGAATTCATGATCTAAGTTATAATGAGGAATAAATTTCTATTTATATTAATTTTATAAGATTAATAATTAAATCAACCGAACGAAATGTATAGTATAATTTTTACGTAATAAATAGTTTTCTATCGTGAAAAAAAAATTCTAAAATTTTGCTAATACGGTTAACCATTATTAGCAATTTGATTCAAAAAATAGGCTCTCGTCAAATTTTGCTATTTTGACTTGTTGAGGAGCTTCTGTAATCTTCCCAACGAACTATTTGAGGTCAAGAAAAGCTAATTTTTGACACGTTGACGGATTATGATTAAATTGAAAAGTATAAATAGCTTCCGTAGTAGGAGATCTTTACTTACCATCGAAAAGGACAGGAACACCCTTTCCCTTTGTACGGAATTACATGTCTGTTGACATTTTCCCCTACTTTGTGGCAACTCTAAAGCACACAACTCAGCAACTGATTGGTCGTTGATCTTTCTTAGTGGAAGAGACACGTGTAGGCGTTAACTGGTTTCCCTATTGTTTATTGGTTGGAAAGGAGAATTTGAACTTGAATTACAAGGTCAACTGAAAAAACAAAAAATTGCTTAAAAGAAAAATATAAAAAAGCAAGAACCGTGCGAAATTGTTTAAAAAATAAATTTAGGATGTGAATTTTAACAATAAATAAAAATTTTAATAATTGAAATAAAATTTAAAGTGGAGATTTATTTGATTTTATTTTTTTTAAATAACATTAGCATAATAATTTTAGAAGCAAGCAGAATTTTAGATTATTTAACTTTATAAATTTTAGAAATTTCACATTTTTTACAAAATTTAGTTTATTTATATTTAAATTCATAAATTTTAATTTTTTTATTTTAGCAATTAGCTATTTATACAGTGGGTTAAAGTGAAAATATTCGTTAAAAATGATTATTTAATTATATATTAATTATTGTGAAATGTTAATCTAAAAATATTATTATGAAACGTTAATCGTCAAATACTCTTTGAATCTATAAAAATTATATAGATTACCTTTTCAAATACTATAACTAATAAAAATAATATTTTGAAATAATCAAAACAATAAAAATGATTATAAAGTGTCAATCATGTGTGGTCTGATTGATCTTCCTACTTCTCGTAAAAAATATAGGAAGGGAGAGGTCTCGACAGTAAAAGTTATTACTACTTTGTACTAAAATAAAAATTTTAACTTATAAATAAAATTTTATGAAATTTATTTATTTTAAATAAAAAATTAAAATTAAAAGTAAATAATAAAAAAATGCGCAGCCAGTTCTTGGCGGCACGTAGGACAAGAGTTGTCTCCTTGGCAGCCAAGTATAATTGATTTATTTTTTAATTTTTGTGAGAAAGGTTTTTGTGGGCTACCTGATTGCGTTTTTTAAAGTACCTTTATCAAACAAACAATAAAGCAGGCTCATGGTAAGCCGTAAGCCAGCTCAACTGCACTTTTTTACAACATATAATATCATAATATGCTAAATAAAGTATAGGAAAAAATATTTTATTTTAATTTAGGAGAATTATTTTTTTTTAACTATTATGTAATAATTTTAAAGGATTTATGTTTTTGAATAAATAGAATAATTAATAGTAATTGTTGATGTCTGATTACTAACAATGATTAGTTGATGAATATATGTTGAGGTGAAAAACGATTCTTAAGAGTATAATTATTTTTATAATATAATTTACTTTTTAAGGTAAAATATATTATTTTCTATTTTAATATGTTATATAATACAAAATATTAGTTAATTTCTTATAACATTTAATAGTTATTTGTTATCTTTAATTAATTATAGATTAATCACATATAAAAATAATTTAAAATACTCTTTTTTTATCAAAATATAAGTTGTTTTTGGGTAATTATTTTTATTTCAAAATATAAGTCGTTTTGAGTATTTTAAAGCTCCGTTTGTTTCTATAAAATAATTTGCTTGAAATTATTTTTTATAATTTTTTATTATTTGGAACATTAAAAGAAAATAAGTTAAGAAAAATAAGTTGGTCATTGGAAAATAAGTTAGCAATTAAAGAAAATGACTTACCCTTATTTACATGGGAAAACATTTTTCCTAACTTATTTCATAATCTAAAACCAGTCTTTTTGGTGTACTAATTAACAATCCACGCAGTCTCTTTGAAAGTGTAAGAAATGTGTCAAATGGCTTTTTTTTGGAAGAAATATTTAAAATAATTTATTGATAGGTCCATATCATTCAACATGATTATTTTAAAATAATCATTAAATTACTTTAACAATATTTTTTTAAAATATGTTAAAGCTTATACCATTTAAAATATATATTTTACCAATATATTTTAAAGTAATTATAATACGTATATATTGTTAAATTATCTTACATGATATACATTGTATTGTTAAGTAATTTAATTAAAAAAATTAAATCATATTATTAGACTAAATTAATCATCATTATAGTATTTATACTATGAGAATACCTTTTGAATAGAAAATCTAATTAAATTTATCTTTAACATAGATGGCTTATGAATAATATAATATTTATATGATGGAAAATTAAAATTTTTAATGTTATATCAAATGTTGAAAAATATTTTCTAATAATGTTTTATGTAAAGCCAAACGTTGAAAAATAATGTGTTTTCCTGTAAAATATTTTTCGTGAAAAATATTTTCCTGCAAATTATTTTTCAATAAGTTATTTTCCAAGAATAAACGGAGCCTAAGGAGTAATAAATTATGCTTTTCAATATTATCTTTATTTACATTAAATACAATAAATATTTTTCATGAGTAACTTTTATTTTGAAAAATATTTTCCTACAAATTATTTTTCAACAAGTTATTTTCCAAAAATAAACGGAGCCTAAAGAGTAATATATTATGCTTTTCAATATTATCTTTATTTACATTAAATACAATAAATATTTTCATGAATAACTTTTAGTTTTGAGATAAATGATAATTTGATCAAATTACCATTGATTTTGTTATAATCTAAAAAAGTTAATTATTTCATTAATTCTTATGCAAAAACCTTAAATGACTTATATTTTGAAACAGACAGAAAAATACAATATTTTTATCAGGTTAACATAATTCAAATATATAATATAAATAGGAATTAATTAGCAATTGATTATAAAAAGCAAAATGTAGTTAATATTAGGGGCATAAAGAAGTCGAGCTAAGCCGAGTCAAGCTCGAACCTGTTAGGCTCAAAGCTCGGCTTGAAAATCAACAAGCCTAAAAGTTTTAGGCTATCGGCTCGAGTTTAACTCAAAAAATTATGAGCTCAGACTCAACTCGAGGTTCGAGTAAGTCTAAAATAGATATTACATATATGTTTATATAAAAGCTCGACAAGACTCGATGTGTAACGCCCCATTTTTTCTGTGTCTGAAATAGTAAGTTACCGGTCTGTGAATAGTATCATCGGTCCGAGAATAAATATTATTTTTGTCCGGAAAAACGTCTGAAATAGTAAGTTATCGGTCTATGAATAGTGCCATCGGTCTGGGAATAAGTATGATTTTGGTCCGGAAAAATTGCTATCTATGTGTCATATTTTATGTAATATTTTTGGAGTATGTACACATTATTTTTATGGGTAGAAAGTAAGTAATGAATATTTTTGGAGAATTTAGAGAATTAGTATATATGATCATGCAGTTTGTCACACAAATGTCAATACAACAGCAATCACAATTATTATCATCTTCATATAATCACATCACGTGGAAATTATTCAGTGGCGTCATCAAAACCTTCGACGAGCTGTACTCTCACATAGTCCATTCTCTCAAATGTGTGCACCTGTAACGCCCCATTTTTCTGTGTCTGAAATAGTAGTTTACCGGTGTGTGAATAGTACCACCAGTCCAGTAAGTCGGTATTATTTTGGTCCGAAAAAATTACTATGTATCTATCTAACATGAACTTCTTTCTTCTTCTCCTCCATTTTAACTTTAGCCTCTCTTTCTCTTCTCTTTGTTTTCTTCACTTATACTCACAAAATCCACCAATTTGACACCATTCAACTTGATCTAAGTGAATTCTATTTGGATGGAACTACCAAATTCTTATGGATAAATGGTTAAGTTAGAATAGTCCATATGGCACATTGCATGAGTTGCATA